CACACACACAACAACCCAACACCCTGCACAGCGCTGCCTGGTGCAGACGAGGTCGTTGTTATTATCATCGCTGTCGTCGACGCTCGAAAAGAACTCATCGCTGGTGTTGTTAAAATCCACGATTAGTCGCAATAAGACTTGGCCAGATATATAGAAAATAAAAGTAACATGGAGGTCATTGAGTCAATTGTTACAGAAGCCATTGAGGTGGAGGACTCAACTACTACGGTTACGACTTTGGAGACGGAAAAGTCAAAAGCAGGTGAGATGTGCAGCTGCAGCTCGTGAACTGGCCATCTCCAGCGAGGAGGACACGATGAGCCCTAGGATGATGATGATGATGGATGGATGAGATTGGCCTTCCCACCAGTTTACTCAAGTAACTTAGGGCAGCTGCTGGACCTCCAAAACAATAAATTTATTTTGATAAATATATAACTTATTATAAAATTCTATCATCAGTATTTTAAATGTGTAAAATAAAATAAATGCGTTTTCAATTTTGCATGTTTATCTAATTGTTTTTAATTGATCATTTTGATGAATTTGAATAACTTAAAAAGTTAACTTTAAATAATTACAGTGCAAATATGATAGATGTTTTTAAAAACTAGATTCTAAACCAATCTAAAACTAAGCCAAAATTATCTGCAAGTAGACCTAAAAAATAAAATAAGTCTGCAAAAACGAGTACATCCTTTTGAAAAATCTACATTTTTATACATTGTCAGTGAATAAAGGCAATAATTTCTGGTGCATTTAAACATAACGTAAGGAATTGAAAGATAATACAATTATAATAAAAATGTTTTTGCACAAAAACAATTACAAACTACAAATTTTCAACTAAATTTTATTTTTGTTTATATTTTTCAGTTTTTTTCCTGATAAGTAATATTATTTACATTTTTAATATTAACAATTTTACATTTTCCTCCAACATATTGATTTGTGCGTAAAAATTTTTGGACTGTTATCTTGAGTTTTTCCTTACTAGATTAGTTCCAGTATGGGCTTTGTTACGGCCTAACCGAATGCTTAGGCACATTTGGTAATTAATCAGTTCATTATAAAAATCAATTCTACTAAAGAATTAAACTTCTTGCTTATTGGGTTATTACAGTTAAAAGCAATTTAAAACAATTTTTATAAAAGACAATTACCAAAACGTTAACATTAAAATGATATGAAATGATGACTTAAAAATACACTACATAACATGAAGTAGGGCTGTACAACATTCAATGTGACATCATGGCCTCACTTGAAAATGGTTCAGTCTTTGATCACAGTTATTTTCTCTCAGACCTTTTTTTCTCTCTCAGACCTAAATATTTGATTTTCTTCTTCTCTTTATTAATAATTTATTTAGAGTTTGTCTGGACTCTCCAAGCCACATGGCACCTCGTCCACGTTCGTTTGGACATGGACACTGAGTTTGACCAGCCCGTGTGCAAAAAGAAGAAGCTGTGGGAGACTGTGGCGGAGAGGGTGACGGCCAAACTAAGAGCCGACGAAGGCACTGATGTTTCAGTCAAAGCCTTTGAATGCGACCTGAAGTGGAGAAACATGCTAGCGACGTACCGCAAGAATGCAGAGCGAGCCAAAAGACTGGGAACCAACAGCGTTCATTGGGAGTTCTTCAAGGAGATGCATGAAGTTCTGGGAAGGAGCTACGAGGAGGTTGAGGCTCAGCGCAAAGCAAAAATCAGTGCCTCCAAACTGGGAAAAGCAATAGCCAGTAAACGATTTACCCCAATACTGCCCACACCTACAACCTCAGCTCCGCAGTTGCCCAACGCCAGGCCTCCTCAGGATCTGCTTCAGCTTTACCTGGAGCTGCAAGAGCGCAAACTGAACATGTGGGCACAGCAGAAAGCTCTGGAAGAGAGGAAGATCGAAGCCATTAATAATCTGGCGCGCGCCATTACTTGTCTTTCCCAGAACAATACCTTGCAAAAGTTTGAGTCGGAAGCTTCCCAATAATAATACCTGCCACCATCTCTTCACATTAGAAAAATGAAACGGATATTTATATTTAGAGAACTGAATAAATTGTTTCCTTTATTATTCGCTTGCAAAAATTGCTGTGGAGTTTAAACTGTTGCATTTATGTAAAGTGCGTAAAGGACAAGTCGAATCCTGTATTTTTGTTTTTTAATAAAATTAAAAACTATACAAAGTGTCTGTCAATGTTTCAATGTTATCAAAAATCACAAAATTACACAGAATTTCTACAATTTTACCACATAATACTACTTCTGTTAAGAACTCACAGTGCAAGACTTTAAAGGAAACACTCCACTTTTTCTTTGGAAAAAGATTTGATTTGGCAGCTCCTGGATCTGTTAATCTTGATAACTGATCTCTGGCTAATTTGGTTCTTTAAACAAGTTTGTGATTCAGATTAAAATGTCTGGATGAACTGATTTGAGATCGCTGTCTGTGTTGTGAAGGACAGATCTATCAATCCTCAAAATCATGATCAGCAATGCAACGATTCGCTGACGACACAGCAGCACAATTACATCATCCGATTAATATTCAATTATCCATGTGAGCAAGATTATAGTAAATAAATGAAATTTGTAGTAAACGGTTTGTTAAATATGATACGCAATAACTTTTCACCTTTGTTGTGGGTTGAAGGCTTAACACTCCTGTGTCAAGAGTATTTAGCAATTTATTTAGTTTTACATTCAGAGTGGACTTTATTTATTATAGTAGCCTGGGCCTACAAGTTTCTTAATCAGCGTAAGGATTAACTGGCTGTTTAAATTCATTTTGATAATCATTTTTAAAAAAGTGCAACTTTTGCAAAGCATCAAGTCACTGTCATAATTGCTGTCAAAACATGTGCATGACTGCATTATTTATTATTCCTTAAACAAAAAACAGTCCAATATTGTGCACGTCTATTATCAGATAGAGTAAAGCTGGAACCTTAAAATAGTAGTCTATGTGTTTGTATCTAAAAAGTCCATATTAATAAATGTTCTCTTTGAACCCCTTAAGAAGAACCACCCTGTGAGTCTTTAAATTGTTATTGTGCAGATTTCACAAGTTTATGCGTTTTTAAACTTTGGTCATGAAAATTAAAATGATTAAAATACATCAAGTGACAATTTCTGAGCATTTGTGCAATTTAGGATTCGAACTCAAGATATTTGCAGCACACTTATTTTATGCAAACGCACGGCCCACTAGGTTACATGAGTTTTCCCTACCCTGTCAATCAAACGCAGATTTGCCAGGTCTCGAAATGCTACTTAAATGTCTGATGCTTTGAAACGCTTTTGTCACATGACCTGGGTGCTTTGAATAATTTTAGTCATGTGACCTGGGTGTTTCAAATTACTTTAGTCACATGACCTGGGGCCTCATGTATCAACACTGCGTACGCACAAAAACTTTGCGTACGCCAGGTTTCACGCTCAGAATCGCTCACGTTTGGATTTACTAACAATGAACTGAACGTGGGAATGTGCGCAGCTTCACGGCAGCTTTATGGCTGGTGTACGCACATTTTTTCAAGTGGTGCTCGCTGCAGAGCCATTTGAGGAGAGCTGAGCTCCAGCGAGGGGGAGCTTAAGCTTGAGCTCCACCTTTTTTGCACTTCTTCTACGAGTGATGTCACTGGGGGTAGGGTTAGGGGTGGGGTTGGTGTACGGATTAAAACAGCTTACAGGAGGAGGAGCGACAGCTCATGCTCCCCCTCGCTGGAGCTCAGCTCTCCTCAAACGGCTCTGCAGCGAGCACCCTCTCCATTTTTTTGTGCGTGTCTGTTTTATTTCCATTGGCGACTCCTAGAGGCAGTTGTGTTAAATTCCTCTCTACAAAGTGTCTGAGCCTTGCAATGGCAGCTGTATGAGACGGGTTCATCTAGCAGGTATATAAGGTTTCCATACCATACAGTTGACCAGCTAAACATTAAAGCACAATTTGCAGCAGTCGCCTGTTTTCCCAATGTAATCTGAGCGATCTACTGCACGCACATTGCTATAAAGACACTATCTGAAGATGAATTTGCATGCGGGAAACATTTCCATTCAATAAATGTGCAAATAAAATATGATGCACAAACTTATTAATGGTTCCTACTTGTCTTTCTCGTGATAGTTGGCAAAATCTGATATGTAGCGGGGGAAAAAAGAAGAAAGAGTTCATCAGACGCTGGATTCGAACTGAGTTCATGCTGGAACGTGTCAAAACATGTTGACATGCGTTTTACGAGCAACGCCACTGAGACTGTTAAGGGTAATGCAACATTTTACACCTATAAATCACACTATTTCTCTTTTAACTCCACAGTGCGATGTTCAGACCCAACTATGTTAACCGCATCAGCTAAACTCTCCTACTCTATTTTTTTCTTTTGTAGTTAATTCCGGAGAACAAACTTGTAAATAACACCGCTTTTCTCCGGTCTACCTCCGAAAGCAGAACCTCCAATTCACATTCTGTTCAAAGTTTCTCTTCTTGCTTGCTTTTGCCTTTGCTTTTTCGTTGGGTTTTGCCAAAGTAGAGTCATTTGCATATTCATACGGGGGAGGAGGCAGGGAGGGGTTTAGTGCTCGTGCATGTTGCGCTCAGTTTCACGTTCATTCAGATGTACAAAAGAATATGCGTGAGATTCGGCGTACGCAGTGTTTCATACATCTGAATTTTTTTCTGCGTACGCACATTTACAGCTTGTGCGCAATGTTTTAGTATGATTTCCACGCAAGTCTTAGTACATGAGGCCCCTGGTCTTTCGGATCATGCTTCGGTGCAGTGTTTCCAAACATTAGCAATTTGTGATCTCGACACTGCCAGTGTCAGATCCACGTCAGCCATCCCTCCTTTTTAGGAAACATGCATTAAACACTTCAATTCATATTTGTAACGTTTGCAGTGACTTTTTTTTTTGTTTGTTTCTTAAATGTGTGAAGGTTTTGGTTGCAAGAACTTTTAATGAATGAACAAAATAAAAATAGTTTAAAAAGATGAAAGTCAGAAAGTGATCAAATGACAACAAATTTAATTTGGGTCAATTATTCCTTTAAATATGTAAATTAGTGTCAAAATCTTATAGTGTCCCTTCTTCTAGTGAGCTATAAAGAAGATTGGCCACGGTCTCCCTCATTTTCACCCCAGCAGCATCTTGGTTGAGCTCCTCCACATCTTTCACTGCGCTTTTCTCTATCAGTCCCTTCGTCACGTCCCCCATGTCCAGGAAAACATTGTGCAAAACACAAGCTGTCAGAACCACAGTCTTTGCCCTCTCAAAGTTCCCCATATCCAAATACCTCAGCTTCTGGAATCGCTCTTTCAGGTCTGCCACTGCCTGGTTGAATCGGCCCAAATGGTTCCCCAGCGCTCTGTTGTAGAGGTTTTCCTGTGGACTTCGGCCAGTTGAAAATGGAGTAAGTATTTGTTCAGTAAGTGGATGTCCAACTCCGGCTATCAGACAGGCTCCTGGAGGAAGCATCTCAGGGTGTTTCTGAAGCCTTTCAGTCAATGCTTTTCCTCTGTCACTTTCTGAGCCTTTGCTGATATGGCAGTAAATGAACCGTCCGTCACCGTTGCACACCAGCTCCAAGTTCAGCCATGAATCAGGATGCACTTCACTCTTGAGTTTTTTGGCATCCGGAGCGTCTGTTTCACTGTCTGGTTTTCCCGAGGGAAGGCGTATAGGAATGCGTGTGTCGCCCAGCACCCCGAGTACTCTAGGAAGACCTCTTTCTTCCAGACCCTCACTGCGACTGTGCCAGCTGGAGAAAGGGAGCAGATTTTGTATTGCCTCCTGTCCTGCATCGGGAAAGGAGGATGGCAAAGTTAAATGATTAAAGTCAGCATGAACCGGAAGCTACGACCATCTTTTTTCGAATTAAGACACAGTTCCTAGAGAAATTGAACATTAAATGAGACAAAAAGGGGCGTTATTTGTTTTTCAACTGTTAGCTGATTGGATGTAGTAAATTGGGCTATCATTTCAGAGAGATTGGGAAAAAGGTTTGGGGAGAGTTATTACAACAGACTCCTCCTGCTCGCCATTTCTGTTTGTTGTCAAAACTGACAGTTGGAGGGGTGTGGTTAAGTATGTTAGCCTCACCCAATACCTCTGATAATCTGACAATCTAACTGAAAACAAACAGGAAGTGCATTTTCAGATTTCAATTAAAGATCAGAATGGCAGTCAATTTGTGGTTTCTTAAAGACATTCACAGATAAATTGTCCACTACAAACCTAGCAATGTGAGCTAGCAAAATAAATATAGTTAGTTTTGGTTTCATGTGTACTTTAAAAGGGTCTATTCACACTTGCAGTATGCTAAAGAAGAAAGGGATTTTGCTATTGCACACATAAATATCTGCGGCAAGAGATTTTTAACCCCTCTATTGAGAAACATTGCAAAAAAAAAAAAAAAAAAAACAAGTCCTGTGACATGTCTTATTTTCTACATATAGATGTCTCGGGAATGTCATGTTGTGCATTAATATTTTAGTAGAACCCCACCGAGGGCCGGATTAACCAATGGGACCTCAGAATTATAGCCCCAGCTTTGTTGCTGTGTTCCCGTAATTTTTCTGATGAGGCCTTCAGCAATTAACAAGCTTACAGGGGATTTATTGGCCGTTGGCTAAAAAGGATCAGAAAAGACTATTGATGTATGGGACTTTGTCTGAGCTCAACAATAACTTTACAGTACACAGTTCATGGACCAGTTTCTTCCTCCATTTCACAAGTGTAAGTAAGTGTGAATAAAATGGCTGCCTCCTTGTTTTCTCTCACTTGCAACTTATGTAATTAAATGTGTCTTGTTACTTGTAACCGCTTGTACTGTATCTGGTTAACTCTTTATATTTTCATATTGCGCCTAAATCCATGTTGAAAACATGAAGCATGCCATTTTATTTACAGATCTAAATACATTCCACTGCTGTTTGTCAGTGCTGTGGCCACCATCAGTTGTTCCTAAACACGCGTGGCGGTCAGGTTTCAAAATAGGTCAGCTTTTGCCAATGTGTGGATTATTACTGAATGCGTGCCACTGTTTTTACTTCTGGTTAAGAATAGAGTCATATACTGATGTTAAACTGCATTGCTTTAATGCACTCCTGCATTGGGCTCACACATACACTGCACTTAAAGTCAACAATGTTTATAAGCCGTGGTGGGCATTTCTCTCGGTCTCACGTTGAACGCAGTCGACCAATCGCATCAGACTGGGTCATCAGACCAATCAGCGTTAAAAATAAATGTATATTATAAGACAATAAAAGTGTTTTTTTGATCATGCATGCATATCAGACTGTTATTGGAGACCCCCAAAACCAAAATGTGACATTTTTAATGCATAATAAGGGCTCTTTAATAAATTCACAAATATAATAGTTTTTGGTATTTTTTGATTGTGATTTAATTTTTTACATTTTGTCAGCTTCGTTCTTTTTTTGTATTTAAAATGCAGGGATTTGAGGTTTAAACACACAAAACTGTCTTGACAACTAGTAAAAAACCCTCTTATGTATTTTATTTGTTTTTAGTATTAATAATAGTGTTATAATCAAAACTAAACACAAATAGCTTTAACTTTGTATTTATAGCATGATAATTATAGAAATCAAAGCAGAACGTGGAGACTGTTAATGTTTTTATATCAAAAATATGTAAGGAAAATGTCACTGAGAGAACTAATCTAAAATGAAATAAGTTCTAAAAATACATGATCTCTTTATCAAACTGCTTTTACCCTGGTCTTTACAATTAAATAGCCTTAGATTTTGACTTGTGTTAATGTATCATCTCGTATTAACTCATACCTGTAGGCCACTGAATGATGCGATTCTGCTGTGCGATCACTTGATCACAGAAAGAAAAGAAGATCCTGTGAATATTTCCCTTCTCCAGATGGAAACTGGAGGACACGCTGCGATAGCTGACACGTTTGGACAGGAGGGTGAGGGACAGCAGGACAGTGTGAGACATGGACAGCCGAGCTCTTCCAGACATGCGGTTTTTGCTGTAGCCCATGTTGGAGCTCTGCAAAAAATTGGTCACATACTGCAAGAAAAAACCAAACAAGAAAATAATTTTGTTAAGCCGTAGTTTTTCATTTATATCTACTGCCATACTAGTATACTAGGTATTTTAAAAAGAAAAAAAGTAATAACATACAGCAGTAATTATAAAACAACAACTAACAATCAACTCACATCATTATGAAAACATTTTTAAAAAATGTTTAATATCTGACAATATAAAAATATGAATTAATTTGAAAAACATCCCTCAGACAACCAGTAAAATGAGAAATGAATGAGTGAAATTGCTTACTTTTGTTTAAAAAATGACATTGCAACAGAATTCGCTTTATATTAAACTGTCAAAACGTTGGCATCTAGATTATGACTGACCTGAACGGTAGGATTTGCCTCCATGACTTCAGTAGCATGTGAACGCTGTAAGGCAGACTCTTGAACGGGCTGCTTGGGCTCTGACTGCTTTGGAGTCTGTGTCTGATCTGCTGAGTCCTTCTGTTGAGCTGAGTTTATCTGCTCCTGTACCTGCGCCACTAGGTCAGCCTCTATCATCTCCTCCACAGCACGGTCCAGCCGCTGGTCCAGCTCCCAGTTAGACAGCGGCTCCCATTCAGCCTGGATCGCGTCCATGATCACCCGTCCTGCAGCTGCCACATTCTGCTGAAGAAGCTCCATCTGGGTGGCTTTTTTATTCTTTCCTTTTTTTTAATTAAAGCAAAACACTGCAGGTAAAACAGTGTGGTGAATAAAACAAAAAGTAGTATTCGTCACCATACTTTCCAAGTATCGAGCCAGATCAGTCTTAAAGATAATATATTTACAAAATAAAATTCATACATTTACAAGATAATTCATAAATACACAAAACAAGATTCATAAATATGCAAATCCAACTCATAACTACAAAACATGATTTACAAATACACAAATCAAATTTGTAACTTTAAACACGGATCATAAATACACAAATCCAATTCTTAACTTCAAAACACGATTCATAAATACACAAATCCAATTCTTAACTTCAAAACACGATTCATAAATACACAAATCCAATTCTTAACTTCAAAACACGATTCACAAATACACAAATCCAATTCTTAACTTCAAAACACGATTCATAAATACACAAATCCAATTCTTAGCTTCAAAACACGATTCATAAATACACAAATCCAATTCTTAACTTCAAAACAAGATTAATAAATACACAAATCCAATTCTTAACTTCCCAACACGATTCATAAATACACAAATCCAATTCTTAACTTCAAAACAAGATTCATAAATACACAAATCCAATTCTTAACTTCCCAACACGATTCATAAATACACAAATCCAATTCTTAACTTCAAAACACGGATCATAAATACACAAATCCAATTCTTAACTTCAAAACACGATTCATAAATACACAAATCCAATTCTTAACTTCAAAACACGATTCATAAATACACAAATCCAATTCTTAACTTCAAAACAAGATTCATAAATACACAAATCCAATTCTTAACTTCAAAACACGATTCATAAATACACAAATCCAATTCTTAACTTCAAAACACGATTCATAAATACACAAATCCAATTCTTAACTTCCAAATCATAAATACACAAATCCAATTCTTAACTTCAAAACAAGATTCATAAATACACAAATCCAATTCTTAACTTCAAAACACGATTCATAAATACACAAATCCAATTCTTAACTTCAAAACACGATTCATAAATACACAAATCCAATTCTTAACTTCAAAACACGATTCATAAATACACAAATCCAATTCTTAACTTCAAAACACGATTCATAAATACACAAATCCAATTCTTAACTTCAAAACACGATTCATAAATACACAAATCCAATTCTTAACTTCAAAACACGATTCATAAATACACAAATCCAATTCTTAGCTTCAAAACACGATTCATAAATACACAAATCCAATTCTTAACTTCAAAACAAGATTCATAAATACACAAATCCAATTCTTAACTTCAAAACAAGATTCATAAATACACAAATCCAATTCTTAACTTCAAAACAAGATTCATAAATACACAAATCCAATTCATTTGGTGAAAATATTTTTACTTGTGAATTCACGAATTGTGTGTTGTATTTATGAATAGTGTTTTAAAATTAACAAATTGAATTTTGTAAAAGTGAATTGTGCTGTGCGTGTATGAATTTGTTTTTGTAAATGTATTATTTTTGAGACTGATCTGGCTCCATACTATGTTGTCTGATACAAAAACAATTGCAAAAGTTTTTTTTTTATTTTGTATTACACACAATCTAACATGTTTAAATGTGCAAAAAGGCCAATTATTTACATATATGTACTACAAAATATGAACAACACATAACATAAATAGAGACTATCAAGGGCTTTTACTGAGTTTCTAGAGGGGGTTTACATTAAACCGAAAAAACAAACTTGAAAGACAAACAAAATATCTAATTTGACGTGTGTGAGCAAAATGCTTTTCCTAGTCTGTCATGAGTTTTTCTTTCAAGACTAGGTAAACACAAGTATCTTTAAAAACATATATTAAACACTGCTAAGGGTATTGTAACGATACATTCAAAGAAATAACTAATAAATATCCTTATAAATGGCTGAAGCAATGATGAGGGTAAAGTTAGTAAACACTATTGCTGTAACTTGCAACGTGCAGAATCAATGGAGCAATATGGTTAGCTTAACCTGTAACTCAGTAAACAGTTAATGCATGAAGCGTAACTTAAATCACTAACTGGTACGAATGCATTAATAACCTGAATTCAAAACAAACATTAGATATTGGAGATGACAGACCTTTACAACTGACGAGCGTCTTTCCATTAGCTTCTGTTGCTACCACAAATGGTGGTCCTCATGCGCATGCGCGTTCACACATCGATGATTGGTGCTTCATGACATCAATACATCTGCATGTCACAAACTCACAAACAGCTACACTAGTCCACTGACCTTTTTTTTTTTTTTTAAGAAAGGTACGTTCGGATACCTTTTTCAGGAAAGTTTTAAGTAGGTTATTTTTACAGGTATTTGTGTGTACTTATTATAAATTCATTTTAATTTGCTTTCCATCTTGTCATAATCATAACAGAAAATATGAAAAATAAGTCCTTGGTATAACAATGTAATATTGATTGCACTATTTTGATTTTATTTAATTTTGTTAAGCTACTAATAAAAAACACTTATGTGCAGCATTTTATATCACATAGCAATACTTCCAAAGCACATCAGAAAGATTACGCACATATTAATAAAACACTATGAAATAACTCCCTCCTTTCTCCCTCCGATATCAGTCATTTAGGTTTTCATTAGGTTAACTTAAAAGACCCAGAATATCAAATCTTTATTTGAGAAATATTAATATCCCTAAATATAGAAAATATATAATATTCTGCTACATGGTTTAAGTCTGCATGTCGAAATGCTAATAAATAAAATTTTAAAGCATTTAATTTTCAAATAGCAAGTTGAAACCTCCTGTAATTTTCCCATTAGTTATTATTTTCTAAAATTTCCCACAGATTTTGTTCCAGTACTGGTTGTTATTCTATCAGATATACTGTAATAATATCTACACAATAGCAAAAAAATAAAATAAAAATTTAAAGGTGGCAACATCATTAATAAACAGACACTGAACATTAAACAAGGGAGTGGAAAAGGGCTGATTTTAATTTATTTAAATGCAGTTACAGATACTGCAGAATGGTTTTATTTTCAATTTGTAACTTTCTGCTTGTTATTTTTGTAAGAGCACTGTGAAGGAACACTGCCATCACCGAGAAGGACAAGAGTGAGTTTGCAAAAACATTAGGAGTTTGTTTCTTTTTTTTTCCCTTGGGATGAACACAATGTCAGCTTTTGTGTTAAACATTCACTTTTTTAAGCAACTGTGCCCAAAGGCTTCATTCTTATTGATCTTAATATTTTATACATGATTCTTTCCACCATTTTAAAATGCCACACACACGCATACACACACAAAGAAAAAAAAAAAGACAAAAGCATTTACACTCCTCTTTGATTGAAACATAAAACCAGAGAACTGAATGTGAATACTTAACCTCCAAACTAAAGATTCAAAAACAAGACACTAACTCCAACACAAAATGATAAAGAAATGCAACACACACTCCAAGAAGCGACAATGCATGTGGAAAAATGTATTTACAATGAAACCACTGTATGTCAGAATTCACCATAACCATGTGCTGTGTATTATAATTTGCAGGTATAACCTGATGGCATCCATGCCCATTCTGAAGTTCAGTCAGTTCCATGTGCATTTACACTATAGAGTAAGTCGGTAACATAAAACGATTCAGCCTACGGCCTTTTTGCACCCCAATAAAATTATGAAGGATCTAAATAAGAATAATTATAATATCAATACTCATTACACACAACAGCGTACTGTAAATGCGATCAGTAAAGTGGGCCTTTGTAAAACCTTACAGCCACTAACACAAACCCACCCCAGCCCCTAACAGATCGAAACACACAAAAAGCACAAAAGGTCGAACTCTCCAAACATAACATTTGCGTGAATTAAATAAGAAGCACAGGTTTAAATACTTGGGTCTGACAAATGAGCAAAAATTCATCCAGAAATGAGGGGAAATGTTACCAGAAATCAAAATGTGCCTGCGCGTGAAGGGGAGAGGGCGTTGTGATTGGTGTATGAACCTGTAGATGAGCAGACACTAAATATAGGAAGGGTTTTGCGACAATACGGTGAGAGTTAAGCTGCTAGTGCTTGATGGGACATGAGGAGTAACAGGGAGAGCGATTCAAATTCTCAGCAAAGTTTCAATATCACACGAGACCACTCTCACTCATGCTTATTCCCCCCTCTTGCTGTAACTCGATACACACCGCCATCTTAAAACACGCACGTTGTTTTGGACACTCTTTACCCCTGCCGTCCATCCCCCACCCTCCCTCCCCCCCAACCCTTTATCGTTGGTTCGTCCTTCACTGCACGGCTTGTTCGTTGGCGGTGCTGCCCGAGTCTTGAGGCTTCATAACATCAGGAAGCTCAGGAGGGCTGGAGAAGGCCTCTATTCTTAGAGGCTCAAAAGCATCATCTGGGAGGAACAAAAAAAAAAAACACTGTGAGCAAATGTGGACCACCAAATATTGCACAGAAGATTAACTCAAACGAGAAACTCTTACCGCTGATGCGAAAAGCCAGTCCTACTGTGGCTGGAGCCTGAGGTCTGGCTGTCTGGTTTGTGAATCCACAGTCTCCAAGAGTCTTACTATCTTCTAACAGCATGTCATCCTGGGGAACACGAAGAGATCATTTAATAAGCCGAATTATATATTATGAACCACTTTAACTGATTCTTAAGTTCGTGCATCAACTGCAGATTCCTGTTATACAGTTCACCTTCCCACCAATTTTGCTTTGTCCAACATATAGCTGTCTGTGAATTTAAAAGGTCTGCAAACTATCAAAGTACAAGACAAATAAAGTCATTGTCTCTCAGAAGACTATAATCTATTATCATACTGCTGAAACGAGTCACCATCAAAAGCAGTTTCACTTCCATAACTGATCTACACAGGTCTATAAATAATGTACCAGGGCGCGTGTCCATCAAAGAATTTGGTCACTGAGAGGGAAGTATTTATTTTAAGTTGTTTTCAATGAGAGTCTTTAAGAACGGCACCAGTGCGGTGACAAATAATTGTTTTGTGTAAATCGATGGGTGATCGCATTAAAGACATGTCACTGGTCACTCTAGCAGATATTAGCTCCAACTTGCCTCAACACACCTGCACAGATAGAAAGCTAATGGCCCGTTTCCACTAAGTGGTGTGGTATGGTACCATTTCCATTGTCAAAAGGTACCTTAAAGCGAACCATACCACTTTTTGGGTGCCCAAAGGGCGGAGCTAGACGCACAACTGAACGCTATTGGTTTACAGAGATAAGTCACTCGCTCATGTACAAGCCAGAATAAAAACAAAGGAATCGCCCTGTTTTAAATACACAGCCGAGATGTTATACACATACATATATATATATATATATATATATATATATAGATGTGTGTGTGTGTGTGTATAAATAAATAATAACGAGCCATAGTTGACCCGAGCTCAAACAAACCTTGTCGTCGTCTCGATGAACAGCCACAAAGCCATAAAAAAGCAGAACCAGAAATCAGCCCCGTAGTTTTTTTACAAGATCGTCTAAGGCGTGAGCGGTTTCAATTTCTGGCTTGCGCTAGTGTCAGCGTTTATATTTGAAATAACAAACTTTTTGAGCTGATGATAATAACGTGCGTGTAATAATTGAAGCACTTCTGACATCCGATTCTGTCAGAAACTAACAAACGTGAGACTGATGTGCGAAAAAAAACAAAAAAGAAGATGGAAAAAACGAAGGAGCAAATGATACTTTCAGCAATCTAAAACATGAACAAATTGCCTATTTCAATTATTATCATCCCCTTTTGAACTATTATGAACTGGCCAGGTTTTAGCCCGAACCCGACCGCTCCCGCTTATATTAGGAATTTGTTGTCCCGCTGCCCGACCCGCCCCGTTTTCTGCCCGCCTCGCCCGATTCCGCTAAAGAGCGGGGGAGAGCAAAACCGAAAATCACCCAGCTATACAGTCCAGATAGCCAAGCTGTCTGTATAAACACACACACAGCACCAAGCACAAACACAGACAAAGCTCTCTCTCTCTCTCTCTCTCTCATACGCGCGCGCGCGCACTAACACACACACAAGCACCAAGCAGACACACAGGCGTTTGCTGTTATATCAACTCAAAGGCTTGTAATACCATGTATCAAGTACCAATGTAATACCAAAAGGTTTTATATAAAGGTATATAAATACTGAGTTGCACCAGCTCCGGGCCGCAGCGCACATTACTCTCGGGCCGATTCAGGCGCGGATGCGGCAGCGTCGGCTCGCTTACGGCCGCCGCATCTGGCCCCATAGATTCGAGAATCTAGCCGGAACTGGCCCGAGTGTTTTTTGCTATCTGGGAAAGCTCTCTCGCGCGCGCACTAATGCCTAGTTCAGACTGCGTGATTTTAACCCTGATTTTGGCTTGCCGACAGGTTTTGAGAAATCGCCGACAAATGCCTGAAATCACAGGCAAATCGCTGCTCGTGCATGTGAGTGACAATCACACAGTATGAACGATCAAAGACGCGATCTGAGAGAATCGCCGATGAGTCGCCGATGCCTGCGAGATATTTGGCATGCTAAATATCTGGAGCTGTCGGCGATTCAAATCATGCCGTGTGAATTGAGTTTTGACTGAAAATAACATCAGCGATCGCCTACAGCCAATGAGAGAGCAGCTTTCACTTGTGTGTGCGTGTGTGTATAACTGCTGCAGGTCAGCGGGAGGCTGGGGGAGAAGTTAAAAGCGCTCTTTTTCGGTTTATTTGGACCCACGAAATGGAGGAAAAACTGGAGGAGGTTTGACAGGACTCCGGAGCATCCGTGTCTGTTTGACGTTTCATACAGAAAGAAATTAGTTTATTATCAACGTTGAGGAGAAATGGCTAATTCCCTTTAAACCCAGGTGAGCAAACATGTACATGTTCTACCCCATTAAAGGCTTCTTTCTCATTATGTAGTTAATAACAAAAGATATACTACATGTTTTTGGCTGTGAGACGTAGTTTGGACGAAGTTGTCGGCGATTCTCCCTATAGTAAAGTCATGCAATGTGAATGTCCATGTCGCCGAACCATCTTGCAGTGTAAACAAAGCAGCGACGAAACGCTAGCCCAGATAGTCATGCAGTGTGAAAACATCTGTGACACGACTAGTTTGAAAATCATGCAGTCTGAACTCGGCATAACATATACACACACACACACACAAGCACCAAGCACACACACAGGCAAAGCTTTCTCTCTCTCATTCGCACAGCAATATCCGCGATATTGCTAGACAGCCCGCTCACGTCCCAAATTAAACCCCTTACCGACCGCTACCGCGATTTATACAGGAATTTATCAGGACAGCCGCGGGAATGCAGACCTCTACTTAGAATGACAGAATTACTTTTTAACAGGGGTTACATGTCCTGGTGAAGAATATTTCGTGTTGTTTTTTTTAACCCAAATAAGGAATAAATCTATGCTGTGTGTAGTTTAACTGTAATTGGTAAGATATCAGAGACTACTGTAAGGGGCTGTGTGTGTTCAAATATGTTGCATTTATTTATTTTATGTAATTGCAGACGTTACAGCAGGTCATTTCGCATTATTGTTCTGCTGTTATAATCAAATGTTGTTCGTAAAAAAAAGGTTAGTGATGAACATTTATACACAAGTATTTATGTGTATAAAGTCTCTGTATTGTTAGAATTGCTTCTCATATGATATGCGAGCGACCCGTACAGCTTTACTGTAGACATTTCCTCCAGTGAGAATAACGTCGACTGAAACATTGCCGTACACCACGTTCACCAATAGAGTACCCTTGGTACCTTTTTAAGCAGTGGAAACGCAAGCCTGTAAAAGGTGACCCGTACCGTACTGTACCACTGAGTGGAAACGGGCTATTAGTAAGAGCTTGATTAGCTAGCCCAGGTGTGACTAAACCTTGCATGACTCTCCAAGACCATGTCCGGGCATCCCTGCTCTAGAAAAAGAGGCCTTCTAGTAATCAATTGCTATAGCCTTACAATGCTCAGGGGAGGGGCTTGGCCCAGACGTGTGTTATGACAGTTTTTGCAGCTTCATTATTATGAACCCTCTGGGGTCAGCATATGTGCTGGGATTTCAGTGAATACTTGACTCACAACCATGAGAAATACATCTATGTAAAGCTTGATAATTCTACTTCTAATGAACTGACTTCACTTGAAAACAGATGCTTTTTGGTTTTGTAAGCTGTATGAAAAGAATGATGTCCTGAAGGATATAGGCTGTCCTGTTTGACCTCATGAACTCTTATCTCTGCTGTAAAAAAGCAAATCACATGACAGCAACTTATTGAATGCCCACAAACTTGTAATCAAGTAGGCTAATGTAAATTGTAGAGGTCATTAGCCATCAGGAATAAGTCCAGCAAAATCAGGCAAGGCATTACATAGTTTGACTGACAGGATGAGATCTGATTGCGTCCTTCAGAAAGGGCCATCAATAAGGTTTGTGTCAAGATCTTGTTTCCTTCGGGTATGCATGCGGATTAGCTTAGGTAATCTGAGGAAAATTGTATTTTTGTTTGATTTGAATGTTTAGAAAGACAATTTACGAGTTAGTTAAACTTTGACATTTTTGAAAGAGATGGGAGCTGCGCTATCATGGCCAAGAGACTTCCCAAAGATGGCCTACAAGTGTAATGACTTACAACTGTGCAAAAATACTTTGTTAAACACATACTATTACTGTAGGAAAAGGCATGCACATTTCCAAAGGCATCTGATTTGCTACTTGTTCATAAGCTCATCAAAAATATGTGTGAGTGGTTATTTTTTTAACTACCCACTGAGAAATATTCTGCTTAACTTGTGATGGCAGTTCAATTTGATAAACTAGTCAACTGATTTTGCCAACATTTTATCATCTGACTCGATTCTATAGGGTAATTTCATAGGTACTGTAGAGAGATGTAAACGTTTTAGAGATGTAAACGTTTTGTAGGAGTCCAACAAATTAAATTATGAAGCGTTAATAATAATAATAATAATTATAATAGTAATAATAATAATAACAATAGGGAGACTTTAATGCATTTAGGTTTGTTTCATTAATTAGCACACAATACATCGAAATGACAGCGATTGCGATGCCTTTGTCACACCATCTGCTCTCTCTGGCCAAGATGAGATTGAAGCAGACCCTCCACACAAACATAACAGATAGTGATGTGTTGAAAAGGCATTAATAAAAACTTTATTTGGTGTTTACCTGACAACCACAGTCAGTTTTAAAGAATAAGTTTAAAAGATGTTGGATTTAAAAGCCACTAAACACCCAACTGTGGTGACACTGTGAGATGGCGCAAACTCATTATATAGTCAATAATCTGCATCTAAGTCCTGTACATTGTTTGATGTGATTTACTGAAAAGATTAATTGAATTACAATAACAGAATTTCTAAAAAAAAGAAATAAAATGGAATGTTGGAAGGTTGTATTAAGAGTTGTAGCATTTATTACAAACATAAATAAGTTATACTAATAATTTACTTCGCTAACCTTATAGAGCCTCTGATCTTCCGGTGCTCGCTTCAGAATGCCCTCCACAATCCGCTTCAGCTCATAGACTGTGGTAGACTCCTTAGCATCTGTAAAGATGGTTGTCTTGTGACGTCTGATCATCAAAAAGACATCCTGGAGAGAAAAAAAACAAGCTAGTTACTCAACTTTTATTTCAATCTCATTATAAACTCATCTTTGAGATGTACATGTTCAATGCTCCAAATATAAAAAAGTGTCTCATTTTAAGTTTATAATATATCTTTTAGACAGCAATGTGACTATTAAAATAAAATAAAATCGATAATTATTAATTTCCACATGTACAGTTTCCCAAAGATTCCCAAAATTATGTTTAGCAGAGTAAGGGAACTTTCACAGTATGTCTGATAATATTTTTTTCTTCTGGAGAAAGTCTTATTTGTTTTATCTTGGCTAGAATAAAAGCGGTTTTTAATTAAAAAAAAAAAACATTTAAGGTCGATATTATTACCCACCTTAAAATTTTTTGTCAATTGTATAACAGTGGTTTGTTCTGTAGACTGACTTTCCTAATTACCCAACTTACTAGTATGTTAAAAATATCAAGTAAAATAATATTTACTGTAAACATAGCAAAGATAAAATAAATCAGTTATTAGAAATGATTTATTAAAAATGTTATGTTTATAAATGTATTAAAAAAATTTCTGTTAAACAAAAATTGGGAAAAATAGAAAATAATTTAACAGAAGGGCTAATAATTGTGACTCTCACTGCAAATGAATTAATCTACTGTGGTATAAAATATAAACAAATTACCCAATACTGTACTAAGTTTTCATCAACAATCCATCAGCTTACTGTAGTTATAAAAAAACATATAAAACTCATATTTTATAACATTTAATCAGTTAACTAGCGTTAATACTACAGTATGATGTAGCATTAAAGTGATGCAAATAGAGAAATATTTGCAGTATCATAATTCATTAGTACTGTTAAAAGATTAGTTACAATTGATAGCATACAAAAGAAGTTTGCATTTACTTTAATTTTAAAAATTATATTGCATTTTATTGATGTGTGTGTGTGTGTGTACTAGGCATGGACCAGTATAAGATTCTGACAGTATGATAAAAATATCACAATTTGATAGTATTGTGATCACTGCTCTAAAATATATTCTTTTTAAATTTGTAGGTAAAAATCCAAAAAAGAGGTAGTTTTAAAACATTCCTTGAAAACGATTATCATTCCATGCCTAGTGTGTACTGTGTATATTTATTATGCATATATACAGTGCTCAGCATAAATGACTACAGCCCATTTTGAAAATAAACACTTTTATCCATTTCTCAGTGAATATGGATAATATATGGATAATATATTGGTGCATCTTAACAAACCAGATTTATTAAACAGATATATTAATTAAAATAACATTTTAGTCACAGAAAATTTTTAGAAATGGAAAGATAATACAATTAAATTCATGCAAAATAAGCTTTTTTTTTGCTATATTTAAAAATTGTATTCAATATTTTTCTCTAACATAGAAATTTGGCCTACTAAGTTTTGAACCATTATTCTAAGTTTTGTTAGATAAACTCCAGATTTGGCTTCAATACTGACTAATCTAATGTATATGCACAAATAGAACATTGTAAAGCATACTATAGAAAATATTTGTGAGGGGTGTACTCTTACATGCTAAGCAATGTACCTAGACATGTATAAACATGTTAATTTATATAAAGTATTTATTTAGCAACATTTTTTATATTTAATGTACATATATGTATTGTATGTGTGCTTTAACATTTACATAATATACACTCGCATTTGTAATATTGAAATAAAATATACAAATTTATTTTGTACGCAGTTTGTCACGATTAATAGTTAAACGTTGCCAACTTGTACTACACTTTACTACAGCATGGTTCAAAAACACTATAGTATTTCTATAAATTACTGTAGTATTTTACGTGAGTTAAGCTGATGCTTTTATTCAAAATGGCTTACAATTGAGAATAAATAGTAAAAACAAACGTTGTTTTCGAAATTTACAAGTAAAACCACCGCTGTTTTCTCCAATAAAAGAATGAAAAGAAAAGCAGATGGCGAACAGCTGCAACGAGCCAACTAAGCTAAACAATTGCAAATGAAACGCCGACAGCTGCAATTGTTTGAAGTTGTTGTTTACTTTATCGTTAGTAATTGGCAACACCTAGGAAATGCGGCGCGTTGCTGTGCGGTTTGTTTACTGACAGATAAATAAGCTGCATTACGAAGGGCTACATTTTTCTGTTAAACTCACTGCAAAGGAGGATAAACCAAGTATTATCGACGTCGGGTTATCGCAAGTTACGTTATCTTTTCAAAAATGGACGCGAAAACTGACGCTAGTGACGACGGCAGGCTACAAACATATCGACCAGCGCTCGATAAGCTATTAAATATTACTGTTCATACTCGTTTATAACATAGATTAAATGACTATGTGGAAACTAGAAAGGCAGAGCTCAGAATGATCAATGACAGGACCAGCCCGTTTCTACATTATGGAGCTGTCATGAAATCAACACCGCGATTAACAGCCCTGTTTCGGCCACAGCGTCGTGCAGCCCATAAACACACAAACAAAACAAACCCGATTGTCCATCGATTCTTAACATTCTCTAACTAGACAGGCCGTCGAGCGCCTTTCGCTGACAATCTAATTAGTAACCTAGTAAATTGGGCGGATTTAGCTTGGGAATGTTAGCCGGGTTGCTAAAAATATTGCGAAACAAAGAGCTCTGAATAAAAGCTGCGCTTACACGCGGTAGCCACTTCAATCTGCATCTAGTTTGTTTACAATCCTTCACAACTACATTTTTAAACTCCAAAACGACGAAATATGTTTGATCTTGGTTACGTTAGCTTCCTCACTCACCATTTCTCTACGTCTGTTTCGCTGACTTCTTCCACTATCCCACGCTGCACTGCGGAAATCAAAGCGCTCGATCCAGTCCTCCACGATCCCAGATGTCTTTGCGCGAGCAGCGTGAACTCTTTCCTGTGCAGGAGACGGTCGCGCCCTAGTGGCCTCGCATAATTCTTTTAACTATCACTTGTTGCTCATAAACAATTTGTTACATTACGCGTATTTTGATGTACATTTTCTTTTATTCTAGTCGAACTAACTCTTGAAATGACAATGAAAAGTACCGAATGGGTTTCGTGGGGATTTCTGGAATGGCCCAAAATGTTTATTGGAACAGGATGTGCTCATATTTTTAGATAATTTATTGGAGATTATAGGGTAGTGGTTTGTAACCAAGGACCCACTTGTCCACAGGGGGCTTTAAAATGGTTAGTCTGAATGAAAACAAAATATGCTAAAAAGTATAGACTGAAGATGGGGTCATATTTTATATTTAAATGAATCCCCTGGAACGTTACACCTCTTTAAGAACACCTGGATATAAACCCTGGTTTCACAGGTGAGGCTCAGGGCTAGACTAATCTAAACAGCATGTTTAAGCCATCTCAAACATGATGTTCTGAGGGGCAAAACAAACTATATAAATATATGTAATATAAATAATGAAATATTTGATTAAGATTTCATTCAGGGGTCGCCACAGTGAAATTAACCACCAACTATTCCAGCATATGTTTCACACATCCAGCCGCAACCCAGTACAGTGAAATATCCTTTCACACTCATTCACACACATACTCTACGGCCAATTTAGTTTATTCAGTTCACCTATAGCGCATGTCTTTGAACATGTAAACTTCACACAGAAATGCCAACTGACCAAGCCAAGACTTGAATCAGTGACCTTCTTGCTGTGAGACGACAGTGCTAACCACTGAGCCACAATGTCACCAAGATCAATATTTATATAAAAGATTAAATACTTCACAAAGATTAAAAAAAATGATAATAAGTCACTCTCAAGTGCTTCCAAAGCTTTGAGGGCTTTTATTTTTTAACACAAAATAACTTATTTTGATGATTAATGGACACTGTTAGCCACTGTTATCCCGATAGAAATGGCTACTAAAATATTTAAATTATATTTTTTTAGTAAGGTTGTTCCAGAAGATATGGTGTGGGGCAGGAAATACAAATGAATATGAAACGCACAAAGACACACCCTTAAAAGTAGTACAAACTATTTATTCTGAACAAGGCCTTGCTGGATAAAACTGAAACTGATTATAAAAAGTGTATTTGGGGGCAAAGGGCTGGTAAACATGCACACTTCATTTCAGAACCTCACAATAACCTTCAAGTTTGCCTACAACTTCTAGTAGGAATCAAGACTTTATAAAAAAAGCTTTTGATTTATTAACATTATCATTATTTATCTCATTAAATCAGTTATTTACCGACCAAATAAAACATTTCTCTTTTCTTACCCTCTTTTTCCAGCAGTTTATATTAATACTACTCTATTGTATACCATTAAAAAGGTATTTATTCACAATGTTGCAATATATTTCAATATGAAAGTCACAATCATAATAACAGTCTCTCTGGACTCCAGGGTTCATTATCCTCCATCCCTTCATTGATACGTTCTGTACAGAGCTTCTTCCTCACACTCCAGTAATGATATTCAGCCACACTAGCAACAGAAAAAAAAGAAAACTACTGAACATTCTGGAGATTAACAAATAAGCAACAACCATAAGTAACAACAACAACTTGGTACTGTTAACTCACACTTACCCAGAGCTTGCTTCATGAAATAACAATGCAATCCGCTGACTCTCCTGTGTTAAATTTGAAAAGTTAATGACCACAGATGTAAAGGAAAAGCAGACACTGATAATGCTTCAGACAGCATAGGGTTATACTCACGGAATATTCGTTTAAGTGCCTCAATTTCTTTTAAAGGATTTGGTTTCTGGATTTTGAATGAGTACTTTGCAAGATCATCTTCACTGAGCTTGATTGGACAAAAAATATACATTTCATTATTTACAATCTAAAAACAACCATTCAGAAGATAAAGATATTTTTGAAAAGAAACATCTACACAGCAAGAACATGTTACAATAAAGGTTTCAAACCTTCAGTTTTTTTTTGTTTGTTTCAAAGGATCAATTAATTGCTTTTGAACTTTAGTCATGTGACATTAAATGGCAGTAATGGCTAACATTACATTTAAAATAATTTTTAAATACTTAGTAACAATTTTTCACAATATAACTGTTCGCTTTGAAATGACAAAATAAATACAGCCTTTATGAGCCTAATATACACCAGAATACTTTGACCCCTATTTTGTTTATTGTAAACATGTAGAATCAAGCAAAATCAAAATTTACTAAAGGGTACATTTTTTTAAATAAAGTGTTAAAGGAACACTACACTTTTTTTTGTAAAAAGGCTCATTTTACAACTGCCCTAGAGTTAAACAGTTGAGTTTGACCATTTTTCAATCAATTTAGCCGATCTCTGAGTCTGGAAGAAGCACTTTAAGCTTAGCATAAAATATTTAATCAGATTTAACAGAGCTGCATAATATCATTGTGCCTGCTGCAGCCATGGTACAGCAGCAAAATTCATTGATTATTACTCCAGAATAAGTGATGAGTGTATAGTTCTAAGCCATATCTGCCTATAATAAAGCAGCCTTTCATTTTCCATCGGTCTTAGTACACCGATGCTAATGGTCTAATCCAATTAAATTATTTATGCTAAGCTAAGCTAAAAGTGTTCCTACCAGACCCATAAAACAGCTTAATGCATTTAATACATAAAAAAATAAAAATAAAACTCAACGAACCTATTTCTAAAATAATTATAGTGTTCTGATAATCATAACCTAATAGTAATATTCCAGTGAATAAAATACATACTGGCTGATCTCTGGGTGATGTATAAGGCTTTTTTCCCTCACACCGATGAAGAACCAAGGGTCTGTGTTTGGTTTCTGGATGGACACTGCAGTTAAATCGCAGCACGCTAACAGGCAAATGAACATGCCAACTGTCTGGATGCTTCTTTACCAGATTTTCTACCATGCTGAAGAGAAACAGAACAATCATTTCAAAATGACTCCAAACTTACACTGTGGCATATGTCCAGAAGATAAACAAACATACTTGATAATGTGATACTGAGTGTGTGGCTCCAGCTGTGACGCCTGGTGATGTCGAGAGACAAGGGAAATATCCTTTATCATCAAAATGTTATTCAGTGCTCTGTTAACCTTGAAAATAATAAGAAGCAAATTTGGAGAAGGTCATTCATTAAACTGCATTAAGAAACGTCTCTTCACATTTTAAGAGACCAAAATAAAAGCATGCATGAACTGTTCTGATATTATCCAGGGAGTCATAATGCAGGACTTACCGTTCTGACCTGAATCCCTCTTGCTCCCCAAGGAGTGAGAAACCCTAGAGGAAAACCATATCGGGAAATGGCATCACACATAAGCAGGGCAACAGAATCAGAATTAGGCTTTTCTGTCGGGAAAATTTCAATCCACTTGGTGTAATAGTCACAGATGACCACGATGTGACTGTAGGGGCCTTTGCTTTCTTGAAATGGCCCGGTTACATCTATACTCAGCCACTGCCATCTCTCTGTCACCTGGAAAGTGTAAAAAAAGTTTGAAAGTTAACTATATATCTATATTATCTATCTAGGCTATTTTTTTCTAGTCTTCACGCAGAAATAGATTTGCATATAAATCTGTAAGAGACAGACCTTGATAAACTTGGAGTTTGGATTTTGAGGGGTTTCAAGAGGTGCATCATCACTGGTGACATCACTTTCAGGGTCCTGTAGAAGTACAGCGAAAAAATGTATATTCATATATATGACAATATATAATTATATAATATATAATTTAATTATTACATTTTTGGGCCGATACCGATAACTTTTTAGATGAACCGATATATGTTCTGTATGCTGTTGCTTACATGTAAAAATAAATCAGTAATTTTAAAATGCAAAATTAAATGTGTCAAACACAAAATAGACATGTCAATAATTTTTTTTAAATTTAATAACAATGTAATATTAATCTGACCGGCTAATATTTGGTTAATGAGCAGTGAATATTGTTTGGGAAAATTAACAAAATGTTTATACATGCAATATTTTTTCCTGAGGCAATTTAAACCAAAATACAAAATGACATTCTATCAAACATATCTACAATCATAAGGAATTTGATTACTTACTGAGCAATTAACGCACAGCAATACCGCACAAAAAAAAGACAGAATTTGAAGGAATAAACAACATGAGGAAAGTGCACCGGACAAGTCTGAACAAGTTCAACCCATGCATGCATGAAGCAGGCAGTTCTGTACAATTATGTAATCTATTGGATTAAAGACATTAGCTTAATATTGATATCGGATCGATAACGATAAGATTTTTAAAAAGCATTTATCGGCCGATAATAATATGGCCGCCGATATATTGTGCATCCCTAATATAGATAATATTAAAAGTATACATATTGACAGAGACACAAAACATTCAGAGTACAAAACAGAGTTATTTTATGCACTGCTTGTATTGGTTTTGATGTGAAAGGTTTTATAGATCTTGCTTTTAACAAATGCGTTCTTAAATTACAAGACTTTGCCATATAAGTTGGTGCATGAATAAAAGTTCTCTAAACATTAAATTTACTTTAAGAAAGACATTCAGAGTTTACAGCTTAATTTGCAGGTAATTCTGCAAAATCCATACAATATTTGGCCATAGGTTATTTTAATTGACCTGCCAGTGATGCCAATGCATATTTAAAAAAAACTGTATTGTAAACAGGTTATGTCACTGTGTAAATTAATATATATTAGCAACAAACGACATTAACGTAGACATTAATGCTAAATCTTACAGTCTTAGCAATTTACATGTTTGTATAAATTTTTTTGGGGATGTTAGCCATATCTTTATATAATATATAGTATAATATATTATAATATAAATAACCATAAGAATTTAGTAAGAACAACAGTATGAAAAACTGAAGAGTAAGTAAAATAGTAAGGAAAAACTGAGGTATACATTGATTGAATAGTTATATTCTATGTCTTCTAGTCACACTACTTGTTTTGAGATTTAGACACTGAAAGAATATAAAGGACTACATACACTAGAGTCATCATCAGATTCGCCATCACCCTCCGACAGCTTCATCCAGTGAAAGCTCTGTGAAAACATATGGTTTGGTGTATTAATGTTTAAGTGTATAATAAACTTACAGCCTAAAGCCGCTAAACATAAAACAACAATCAATAACCTGAGGTTTGCAGTAGTCATCGTGGAAGCTGCCAGCGTGAAAGAGTCCACGGCTGGAACCATTTGAATCCACATTCACACGAACAAATGTCCCTTCAAGCCTAGCAAACCCATAAACAAGTTATGATCAGATAGAAGGAAAACAACTGCAGATTCTGACTTATTTGATACCAGATACTGTACTTTACCGTGGTGTTACTGGTGCTGACACTAGGGTTGGTTTTGGTTTAATAGGCACTGCAACCGGCGTACGATTCTTAAACATGCAAAGTAAACAAATAATCACTTGAAATAAGAATAAAAAATAAAGTATGAATATTGAAAAGATTAGTAGTGCCATAAGAGCACTGCAACTGTGATGTCAAAACTTAAGACCATTTCCCCACTGATTCCCTCCAGATTTAATAAGAAAGTTAATCCAAAAGTAAAATAACTATTGTGGTAAAACCAACTACACAACATTTGGATGTTTTGCAGTCTAGCAGCAATGTTTAAAACGAACAAGCAAACATTTCTAATACGTAGCTAGAAAAGAACGTAGCTGTGCCAATGTGAGCAGTTTATACAGTTAAACAAATCTTTCAGTCTGAATGTCATAGCTGCAGCACTATATTCTGTACAAAACAGAATGACAGCCAAACTCTCTTCAATTTCTTTGAACTACAACCAGAGTAGACCTGTCACAAGAACTACATTTTTTGTGACAATCAAGATTGATATAATTAACAATATAATTTGTTTTGGCAATTACATAAGTAGTTCACTCTTATTTTTTCCACTTGTATTGATGAGTTTATAGTCCAACAACATGCATAATTAAAATAGGCACATAAGATGTACATTAATGTTTTACTTTATATGACATAAATCACAGGATATTATACAATGTAATACTATTATTTACCTTATTGGACACTAATATGGTCATTTTAAACTGATATATTGAGGTATTATCAGTAATTGAGACCTACTCCAAAGGTGAATATACTTCTCTGATGTTGGCTGTCTCAATACATGTGTTGTATATTGACACCTGTATGTGACATTACAAGGTTTTTAGTTCAACAATGATTTGTTTTATGATTCAGTCCATTCAGATTCATATTCAGACCAACAACACACATGTCATGTAATTTGGAGCATAATAATTATTGTACTACTGCAATTATGATGTATTTCCATTAATGCAATAGTTCACAGAAAAGCCGATTACAAATGCTTAGAGTTGTATTCATAAACTCCATCAGTTTATTAATTCACTGATTTACTGAGTAAGTATATGGTTTGTCCTCTTATCTGCAATACATACCAGAGATCGCCTTTTGACAGCTGGCACCTGTATTTGGATATTCAAAAATAAAAGGTGAAATTAAAATGTGCATGAAATTGTAATTTACACTACAACACTTGCATTTACAAAACAACAAAAACGTTATGAGATTGAGGTAAAGTTGGTTTTATAGTCGCACATTTGTTCAGTGACAACTTGTGATCTGCTCCCTATATTGTTTACCATGGTACTTTGATTGTTCGGTCTGAAATCACATGATGCAAGTATGAATCCAAAACAGCATTAGCACTGTTTGTTGACTGTGAACTATGATGTACTTTGATAGTCACTGGCTGCTAATATGATTTTACTATTTAGAATTTGTAAATAATATTTTTGCATTTCATGGTATTAGAATAGAGTGCGAATGTGTGAACAAAACCAACTTCACCTCAACCGTTATGAAGACTGACACAAGACGACTTTTACTTGCCTTCCACTGGAGATGCTTAGGGAAATTAAAGATAGTCGGGACAGCACTTTTTCGCAGTCTTTTGTGGCTGCCCACTTGCTCAAAGCAGTCCTTCTCGAAATGGTCCGAGCACAGGACAGAGTTTCCAGTGGGCCACCAGTTCTGCCATCTCATCCGCCGGAGCCATTCTCGGACCCTCAGGCCGTCCTCCAGCGGGAATCTGCGGGTAAACAGACAGACACGCGCACACACACACACACACACACACTGACCTGTGATAAAACCGCAACAACCATGGACAGACGTGCATGTTTCAGGGGCTTGTTGATGGTTTGGTTTTACTTACTTGTGAAAAGAAAACTCGCCCCTCTTGTATGCCTCTTTATACTCTCTGTCTGAACGCTTCTTGCACTTATACGCGGAGCACACTGGCATTTTTAAAAGGATTTACTCAACTTCAATTAGATTTAGATCAGCGAGCGTGTTTTGTTTTTCCGGAAACGGTTCTTCGGTGGATTTTGTGGCAGACTGAATGCTGAATGTACTGCCACCTACTGGACACTCGAATACTCCCTCTCTCTGTGTTGATGAGCTCTCTGCTGTACTGCTTTTATGCATATGTTGTTTATTCTGCACAGAGTTTATCTAAACAGTATTATGGTTTTAATAATGATGCTTCAAAAGCACGTGTGTGTTGCATGTAAATGAAAATGAATGTTTTATGAGAGTGAATGGCTCAGGTCAGGCCAGATTTAGTTCAGAGTCCCCTGGGCACCGCCACACTGTAAAAAGTGCACACTCTTCCTTCAAGTTGTCCCTACACAAATCAATTAGGTTATCGTTTTTACAAATGTAAGATGTTTTAACATAAAAAGCAAGTTGTGCCAAAAAACGTATTTTATCCCAACTAATTATTTCACGTTAATCCCAAATATTTAACAAATAAATGAAACAAAACGTTTTATTTGTTAAAATGACACATCTTTCTTAAATCTTATAAAAAAATCAGAAAATAAACGGAAAATTCCCCAAAAGCACAGGCTAATTTGCAACCATAAAACGTTGTTCTCAATATGATCATTACAAAAGAAACAGTTTTTTAACATCTAGAGAATTTGATATGTCCATTTGGTCTTGAAAGAATATGAAAAAAACTGAACAGTGAAGATTACATGCCGCATTTCTTCATTTTACAAGCTTCATTTTTCCACTCCAGTCCAGTTGGTGGCAGTAAAACACCAAAGGGTTTAAGGCGAACCTTACAAAAAGATGACAACAACGTTACCCAGTACATGACAGCTTAAATCCCTGCACACAAACTCATAACCACACGCCACCGTTCAACAGTCATTTAGATAAATAGCAGAAAGATTGAATTAAGAGTAAGCTGAATATAACGCTGGTAAAATCCTGGTCATCCTAGTCGCACCGAACTGTCCAAACAAACATTAATGACTGGAGGAGATGTGCAGCTTTAAAGATGATGTTTATTAAAGACGAGAGTGAGGATGCGCCTGATCCAGACATCAGCATAATAAAAATTGAGGAGCACGAAGGTTGGTGTCTTTTTGTATTTTTTGGTTGTTTTTTTCTAATAACTGTTGTACAAAAGAAAGTTAATCAGAGTTATTGTCTGTAATTTAATAAAAAATATCTGACAACTGATTAAACAGATGAATAATGTAAATAGCAACGCATTTAAATGATCACTACCTTTTATTTAATAATGTTTTTGTTTTTCTCATTCTTTTAAAGGCATAATTCACCTTGAAGTGAAAATCTCATCTTCAAGTGGTTGCAAACCTTTATGAGTTCGTTTTTTTCAGTTGAACACCAAAGAATTTTGAGTAATGTTGCTTTCCAGATTTCCAAAAAAGTTTCCAACATTCTTTAAAATATCTTCTCTTGTGTTCACAGTAGAAACTTAAAGATTTTTTATTAATAATAATAATTCCTTAGATTTATATAGTGCTTTTCTCGTCACTCAAAGCACTTAAAACATTTTTGGGGAGAATCTCCTCATCCACCACCAGTGTGCAGCATCCACCTGGATGATGCAACAGCAGCCATGATGCTCTGATTGGTGGAGACAATTATGATATGATGCTATATGCTTTAATGGACAGAGGCCAATAGGCAAATCTGACCAGGACCCCACTTTTTTTTCTGGGATTTTTAACGCAGTATAGAGTCCTCATCAATAGACGGGGGCGTTAGGACCCACACAGACCACAGCTTGAGCACCCCATGCTGGTCTCACTAACACCACTTCCAGATCGGCTGCAACCTAGCTTTCCTATGTGGTCTCCCATCCAGATACAGACCGGGTGCAGCCCTGCTTAGCTTCAGTGGGCGACCATGTGAGAGTTGCAGAGAGCTAGCTGCCAGCTATTATTGAGTGCCCTTTAAAAAAAATAATGTAAATAGCAACGCATTTAAATGATCACTACCTTTTGTTTAATAATGGTTGCACAAAAACATAATGTTTTTTATTGCGATTATTTTGTCCAAAATGTTAATCACAAATAATGATGATCATTCCTTTTATTTATTTGTGTATTGTTATTGCACTTTACAGCCACAAACAGAAAAATAAACATAACCCGGACATGGAGAATGGAGAGGCCTCTCTAACATGTTATTTTTTTAAGCTTTGGCAAATAAATTAAATAAATAAATTTTAACTGTGCCTCTTTTATGCATGTCAACTTGTAATAAAAAATAAATAATTAAACTGGGGTGCAAAAATATGTCTAACATTTTAAAGATTTTTTGGTGAAAACACAAGCCTGTCAACATGATCCGGCTTTAGGAAAGACTGCAAACAAGTAACTGCATTTCCACCTGTACTAAAAGCCCTCTCTGAAGGAGAGCTTGTGGCTGGTTTGCACAGGTATTTTCTTGCCTCTTTTGAATACATTGGGTAGATCTTTCCATGTTCTTTCCACCATTTTAGTCCTGTACATTTAATCTGTTTCATCCACTTGTGTGGATTTCTAAATGTTTTACTGTTGTCATTTCAGACCTGTCAGAAGTGAAAGAGGAAAGTCAACTTCTAGATGACGTGCAGGAGGAACATCAGCCTCAGAAAGCTCATGAAATCATCACTAATGAATCCCTAAGTGTCTCCCAAACTGTAATGAGTGTTCCTCAAAGCTTCCCTATAACAACAAACGTCAAAAAGCCTTTCGCTTGCTCTCTATGTGGAAAACGGTGCAACCACAGAGGCCATCTTAACGATCACATGCTGACTCACACCGGAGAAAAACCGTTCGCCTGCCCTCAGTGTGGAAAGAGATTCTCGCGCAGGCGAAACCTCAACGATCACAAGCTAACCCACAACGATGAGAAGCCTTTCGTCTGTCCTCAATGCGGCAAGTGTTATAAACGCAATGAACACTTTCAGAGTCACCTACTAAGTCACAATGCAGGCAAACCCTACACTTGCTCTCAATGCGGAAAGAGTTTCAGCTATAGAAGGACCCTGAATGATCACATTAAAATCCACACGGGCGAGTGTCTTCACGTTTGTTTACAGTGCGGAAAGAGTTTCCTGAATAAGGGACACCTAAAGGAACACTTAAAAATCCACACAGGAGAAAGACCTTTCTCTTGCCCTCAGTGTGGAAAGAGTTTCATGAGCAAACGGGACGTCGCCTATCACATGAGGATCCACACAGAGGAGAAGCCTTTCAAATGTCACCTGTGTGAAAAGGGTTTCGCCTGGGCAAGCTGCCTGAAAATTCACATGAGCCACTCTCACTCTGGCGTGAGGCAGTTTACCTGCGAGCACTGTAACAAAAAGTTTGTTCTGGAGTCCTACTTGAAGAGACACCTGAAAATCCATCAAAACGAGAAACCCTACGTCTGTTCCGTTTGCGGGAAAGGGTTTTTATGGCAGCTGTCTTTCAAGGCGCACCAAAAAATACATGAGGGGATGAAGACGCATGTGTGCTCGGAGTGCGGAAGAGCTTTTACCAGAGCCGACTATTTGATAAAGCACAGAAAAGTGCATACAGGAGAGCGACCGTTCACATGCTCCTATTGTGGAAAGAGTTTCAGCAAGAAAGCGAACTTGGGAGAGCACGAGAGACTGCACACTGGAGAGAAACCCTTCATCTGCGGTCACTGTGGAAGCGGTTTCACCTCAGCGAAACGCTTGAGCTATCACAGAGAAAAGCAGTGCGCTGGGATCGCAGCGGATTCATGCTCTGTGGAAGTGGTGATTGTTCCAGATTTGATTGAGAATTGCATTCCTGTAGATTCTGCCACACACAACCTTTAGGGGTGAATAGACTGATATTCCGTGTCTGTGGCAGCCTTGACTGAACAGGTACAGTCGGGAAAATAAGTATTGAACAGGCCATGCATTTTCCTGGAAATAAAATTTCTAAAGGAGCTGTTGACATGGAATTGAAGCAGATTTTGGTAAAAACTCAAACAATACAAACATAAAAATATAACAAAGAAATCTGAAACATTAGGTATATGTAATAACAATGAAGTGACACAAGGAGAAAGTACTGAACTACTGAAATGTATTTATCACTTTCTATAAAAGGCTTTTTAGGTGATGGCAGCTTAATGGTGCCATATGTGGAGATCGAAGTCACATGCATTGCTCAGGTGTGATTTGTTTTTTTCCACTGACTTGATGGTTCTGTGGGCCTTGTCTATCAAATATGATCTTTATTTTGTATTTTCTATTGGATGCAAGTCAGGTGATTGGCCGGGCCATTCTACAGCTTGGTTTTCTTTCTCTGAAAGCATTTGAGAGTTTTGTGCATTTGATCCATTTGTGTTTTGGATCATTGCCTTGCTGAAATGTCCACTTTCGTCTTCATTGTACTGCTAATGTAGATGTTGGACTGAAGCAGCTGATATTAATTTACAGTGACTAAGGGCAGAGGGTGGCTGAGGAACTACTGAGAGATTTCAGCTGCTGTCTGGGCTTTCACTGCCTTTCTACAGCTCCCTTTATTCATGTGTTCAATACTTTTTCCTGTGTTATTTCATTTTATTACACATAAATTCCTTTGTAAATGAAGTAATCTTGTTTTCTTTGTATGTATGGACTTCTTTGGTTGTTACCAACATCTGGTGAAAATTTCAAGTCAACGCCATTTTTTGAAATATGTTTTCGGAGAACAGTGGTGACGTGTTCATAGGGCTGCTTGATTTGGTCTAAAATCAAAATCTTGATTAATTGAACATTTTGACTTAATTTCAATTAATGAACGATTATTTTATTTGTACAGTAAATATGCTCAAATATTACAAGTGAGAGATTGAAGGGTGCATTACTTGATTTTAAATAATTGAAGGAAACACAGACTATATACTATCTATGATTATTTATTGAACATCAACGCGGAACAACTGAAATTAAAACACACATTACCTAAAATCAACAGACACTTATTTCTGAAAATAAATAACTTGCAGTTTTGCAAACAAGCTCAATTATTTATGTTTTACATACTAAAAGTAGAAAATAAGTAGTATCTCTTCTAAATAACATAACTCTTGCATTTCTGTAAATAATATTTAAACAGTGCATTTCTTGCATCTTCTAGCAGGCAGTGGGTTATGTTCTTCTGTATTGCCCACGCTAGTCTCTGCTACCAAACCGACCAATCACAGAGCTTGTGCTATGCGTTGCAACAAAGTTACTTTTTTTGAGAGAGGTGTGCAGGCATGGGACCGCGCAACATGCATATCAGCACTCGACACATCAGCCTTAATAGAGCGGGGTCATGTGACTCCTCACTTGGTAGGGAATGTAATTTTAAAAAAAAATACTTGGAAAAATTATATCTGTTATAGGCTCTGAATGTTGATTTCAATTACTTTTCAATTAATCACCCAGCCCTACATGTTCAATACTTTTTTTCCCCACTGTACACCACAGAGATGTATGTTTGATAAATTTACATCAAATATTTTGTAACATTTATATAGCACTTTTTCTGGCCACCCAATCACATTAGAGTTCTTTTTAGAGTGTTTTAAATGTCTCCAGGTGGATGTTAAATAGATGTTTATGATATGTCTTTAACATGTTTTGACTTATGTTTGTAAAACAAACATTTTAAATATGTTTAAACAGGTCCTTGTACACGGATGTTTTCCAGACCAAACGCTCTTTAAAATACATCTTGCACACATACTTGTGCTATGTGGAAATGTCTGTTCTTTGGCAAAGAAAAAAGCTACACAAACCATACATGTACAGATATTTATAATATATTTATAAACATTTATAACAAATAAAATTATATTTCGATCAATTAAAATGCTTTTTAAATTAATTGTATTTCAAAGAAATTTGAAAGTCTGCAGTGAGATTTTAAAGTCCCCATGAAATCAAAACACATGATTTTCATAGTTCACATTGCCAGCTGTGGTGAACAATTCATCGGTGCATGTCCTTCTAATCATTAATTAAAATCTGAAAATGTACTTCCTGTTTATTATTTTTTTCCGCTAATTTGTCAGATTGTGGTGTCTATTAGGTTGTAATACTCTCCACAAACAATTTCCCTGATCTTTCTGAATGAAATGCCTACTGTACTACATCCAATCAGCTCAGTAGAAAAAAAAAAACAAGCCACGCCCTCTGTTTGCTCATTTAATATTCAGTTTCTCTAGGATCTGCATCAATACGAAAAAAATGGGGCATGTAGTCGTTAACTTAAGTTTATTGCAGTTTATTCCTTGAAATACAATTTCCTTTGATTTCCAGACAGTGAGGTCTTTATCTTTATTTGTTTACTACTCTCTTATGGTGCTAAATGTGACCCTGGACCACAAAACCAGTCTTGTGTAGAACGAGAATATTTGTGGGAACAGCCAAAAATACATTGTATGGGTCAAACGAATAACTTGTCTTTTTAATAAAGATTTATTGATATACTTTGTAAGTTCCATACTGCAAATGTATCAAAACTCAATTTGTGATTAGTAAAGTGCATTTGTAAGCACTTCATTTAGACTTAACATTAAAAGTTAAGCATTTAAGTATTATTAAGTATTTATCTGTATTTTGAGTTTAAATATCCAAATATTCAACAAATGTATCTTGCTCAAATATTGTTTTATCCCTACAAACAATACATCAACTGGAAAACTATTTCACATAAGACATTAATGGTTTTTATGGACCAGAGACACCGATACAAAAATGTATTTGTTTACTAATAAGAAAAGCATATGCATGTTACTTTAACATATGTTTACTGTAATAGCTCTGTGTTTGTAAATGTTTCATGTTTTGTAATAAAAACTATCATTTGAAAGGTGCAGTATGGTTCATGCTAACAGTAGGTGGCGGTAATGCGCTGTTTGCGCTTGCGAGCTGCTGTTAAGAAGCTGTTACACAGAAGAAAAGGGAGTACGTGCGCGCGGTTTGTTTGACTTCATGTATATTTTGTGATTATTTTGTAACGTAAACTCTGTAATACTTGTTGTTTTACCTACACCGACAGGGTTATCTTAAAACCAGAAAGACACTGATAAGGACTAAAACTAAAAATAGCGTTTATATATCGTAATATATCCACGTGTAACTACAAAAGTAAGATCTGCTACTGTAACTTAACTGTTAAAGATGGCTTTTGTGAAGAAGGAAGAAGAGGAGGAGGAAGCTTGTTATCCTCAACCATGTTGCATAAACGATGAAAAACATGCAGGTTAGTTTCCATTCATAGTTTATTTGATTATAATTTGTTAATACTGACTAACTTTGCACAAAATCAACCAGAGGTATCCATAAATTAAGCTTTGTCTTTGTTTACTACACGTTTTTGTGAATGTTTTTTAGGAAATGTACGTTCATTTGTTTGTAGACGGTGGTCAAACACTGTTTTCTAGGTAACATTTCAGCTTAGTGAAATTAAACATGGCAGACTATATAACGTTATATATATATTCTTTGTTATTTACTGCACTTGCATAGAACAGATGTCTTAAGGAATATATTTATTCCAATGTTTGTGCCTTTATCTCCAGATTAAATGTACCTTAATATCCTTTAAGACTCTCATGTCAACATTTTTCATTTGAAATCTCCAGTCTTATATGGTTAAATAATCTCCAATATAGTCCAGTTTAAGATATATTATTATCGTCATGTATGGAGTAAAATTGTTCCGTGGTGGATAACCAAACTTGGGTCCCTTTTTCAAGTTGATGATATGATTTTAAATGAAGATGTTGTTTTAAAAGGATGATTTCTTTTGTTTAGCAGTGAACCGATTCATATGATCTTGTATCAGTAGTGTTCTGTTATTAAACAGCCAGTGAATGATGCATTCAGCGAGCTAAATGTTAATAGATTTTCAGTCATACGTTAATTTAAGCTTGCATTTAAAGGGTTCAAAATCAACAAACAACATTATTATATATTTTCAGATAACAGAAATTTGCCAGTTTATGGTAACAACTAAACAATATTGTATCGAATCACGATAAAATTTTATGTCAATAACAATGATAAGATCTGGACTTTTAAAATCTATATTGATGTAAGAGCCAATCACACAGCAGAAATGTGCAACACTGGGAATCTGAAGGTGTGTTGATATTAGAGATGCACTGATTTTTTGGCCACCAAAAAAAAATTATCGGCCGAAAATATATGTTATGCCATTTAATGGACCTTCTAATTTTTGTGGCTTCAGTCATTGATGAGCTACTCTTTAAAATCTGGAACAACTTACATTGAAATATCAATATCAAGATTGCATTTTTGCCATATTGCCCAGCCCCAGTAACAACCTAGAATAATACAGCATAATGTAACTAAACTTTGCAGGACACTGGCCCTCCAGGAACGAGTGTGGGTACCCCTGCTGTAAATCTTCTAGTTTTCCTCCTTCAAACGATTCTTCTGTCTGCTGAATGCCATAATAGCTCTTTATTAATTTTTCACCATTGTAACTCGGCTTCAAGTGAATATTGTCCCTTCAACTAGACGTGCAGCATTGGCATTTAATAATTTGGCTTTTATAACTATTTATATTTGGCTTTTTTTTTAGCAACAACAAACAATAGACTTGGGGAAATGTATGATTTGGACTATTTGATAGAATGGTATTATAATTATAAAAATCTAATGTTGTAGAAACTTTCGTAAGCTCATTGGATTCAGTGGCTTAATAGTTACTGTTGAAATTCACTGTAGAAAATATAAAGCAGATTTTTTAAACAACTTTGCTATGCATTGTAATCTTCACCGAGGCTCTATTATTTTCGTTCACTCTCCAGTCCTCTCAGCAGATTTAATCCTCGCATTAATATTGTCATTTTAGGAGTGATAAAAGTGAAAGAGGAAGTCCAAGATGAGAATGAAGTGGAGGAGAAATATCAGCCCCAGAGTTTTCAAGATGCCATAAAAGAAGAACAATCATTGTCTTCTTCCCAAACTGAAGACACTTCCTCACAAAGCAGCGCTCAAAGAACAAAAAGGCCTCAATGTGGAAACACTCTCGCACGTACAAGAAACCCGACCAAGCAAGTGACAAGTGACAATCCCTCAGAAAACCACAGTAGAACGGGCCAGTTCACATGCAACCAATGTGGGAAGACTTACGTGTATAAATCCAAATATGATCAACACATGCAAATCCACACTAACAACATTTTCAGCTGCTCTCTTTGTGAAAAGAGTTTCATCTATAAAACTCAGCTGGACATTCACATGAGAGTTCACACCAAAGAAGAGCCCTACACGTGCCATCAGTGTGATGAGACTTTCAGATGGAGCAACAGCCTCAAGTATCATCTGCTGCGTCATCATTCTGAAGTGCTGCAGTATAAATGTGATCAATGCCCTAAAACATTTGCTAAAGCGTCATACCTAAAGACTCACCTCAACACTCATGCTCAAGAGAAGTATTGTGATTGTGCCGCTTGTAAAAAGAGATTCTTGCAGTCAGGAAAGGCTGGAGCAGTGAATGCTACAGGAGTTTCACACAAAAAGAAAAACACATTTACCTGCTCTAAGTGTGGACAGGTTTTTACGTGTAAAAGACGGCTTGATAAACATATGGTGAGTCACGATAAAGGGACGTGTGCGCAGTGTGGAAGGATGTTTGCCACCCTTCAAACCCTTAAAATGCACATGAGAGTTCACACTGGAGAAAAGCCATTCACCTGCTCTCAGTGTGGGAAGAAGTTCTCTCATGATGGAACCTTTAGGAGGCACAAATTAAATTGCCATCAAGATGCGCAAGCTGTTTTACCTGAGAAAAAGATTCCAAAATCCAAACGCTAAAGGTTATCAGGGCCCAGTTTTTCAAGAAATTTAATTTGGATCAAATTGGTCAGGATTTGGAAGTCCCATCTTTTGCTATCCAGGATTAACTGATCTATCTTGCTTTTATGACAGTTTTTAAAGGAACATTGGGTTGGCTCACTGTGATCCAAATACCAAACATCAGGATTACCAAATCCTGTTTTCCAGAGGCTCAAATGGAACCAACAGTGTAGCCTACTGGCTTAGCAAAGAACAACAGGTAGGCAAAATACCAGTGCTCACAAACAGCCATTGTTTGTTTTAATGGTAAGAAACGGAAACGCTGCTATTAACAAACTTTCGACATTTTTTTAGTTTGTTCTTATGCAATACTGCTTTCATATTAATTTGTTGTTTACCATATCTTATTAGATGTAACTTGCTTCATATAGGCTTTAAATATGAAGGAATTCATATATCATCAGCAACCAATAAGTTTGTGAGCATTCACTTAAAAAATACAACAATTTGTTTTTTAAAACCAAATAAAATTAAAAATTACAACTGAATCCACCCTTCTGATGTAATCAGGATAATCCTGTATTTTTTTTTTTTTTATCAAATAGATCCCAATCTGAGTTCAAAGTTGAGTGACCCAAAGGGCAGGTATGATCTAAATTAAATGTATGATTGGATTACATGGTCTGATCTTAATTCTGAATCCCTCTGTTATTTTTGAAAAACCCGTTTCCAAGATCTACGTCCCACTGGATTACTTTTGAAAAAAAAAAAACAAAAAAAAAAAACTGGGTCCTGATGACATATCCTTAAACTTATCTAGGTGAATCATGTAAATTGCTTTCTGGAATACCCCCTGGTTCAGTGTTGAGGTTACTGTCTAAAAAATATGCTGGATAAGTTGACTGTTCATTCCGCTGTGGTGACCCCTCATGAGTAAAGGGACTAAGTTGAAGGAGAACGAGTGAATGAAAATAAGAAAATAAACAAATGTACGTACATCAATATGTATTTTCAATTGATAATGGTTGTACTGTTTTGTTAATGGTGTTCTGTAATTTACTTGTACTGTGGTTATGAACGAGTATGTAAAAGGAAATATGGCCATTTTAACTTTGGAACTTTGCAATGTTTTGTTTTGTTTATGGAGTAAATTTTTTTGATGATTATATCAATAATAAAGTTTTTTTTTTTATTCCAACTGTCTCATTTGTCTACAAATACAGCAGGGTCACTGAATCCAGCAACACAACGTTGGAGTAGTGACTGAAACCAGTTACTGCTCTCTGTTTTATGCAGAATGGCTTGAATGTTAACTGCAATCTGTCTGTTGACCTCTTTAAGAGTATTTAGTAGAAAGTTGCAAATTTAGTAATTTTACACCAAATTCATAAACAAACAATTCTCAGACAGTTCTCAAAACATGTTATATCCACTAATATATGTATAATTAACAAAATAAATATATAATATTATGTATTATTAGTTATAGGATGTAATGTAGCTAAAGGGTGTACATTTGTGGGGGGGTTTTGTGCAACACATAACCATGCAGTTCCACTAAATTATGGTTAATAATTTCCCTCCAAAGAATTTTCTCATAACTTCATAGCCCTTTTATAACGTCTGCTGTTTTGAAACCCAAGTTAGACATTTAAAAGTATTGATATTTAAATATATCATCTTTCTTTTGTTTGGGCGTTGCTAATAACAACGTGTCACCAATATCAACAAGAAACGACTGGTTCACAGTGACAAAACAGCAGGGGAACATATAGATTACTGTCGTTTTCTGGATTTTGTTCGTGTGTAGACAGTCTTTGTTTGTTCTATGATGAAAGTAATCTGCAAATGACTTCGAGCGAAGAGCGCCTGTGCAGACCGCGCGGAAGAGGCGAGCGGCCAATGCACCGGAGCACCCTGACTCTCGGCGACCGCAACACATGCTTTTACTCTACAACACATACGGAGGTAAACGCAGGTTTACATGGCATAGTTGCTGTTTTCTGTTGCAACATTTGTTGAATAATCAGTCGTTTTACTTCTCTTCGACATTTTTGTTGTTTTTCTTTTGTCATAAAAATATTAAAGACCTTTATATGAATACAAATAAGTATTATTAAATAATAATTTATTTTTATTATTTAATAATACAAAGGTATTATTAAAATTCCTTCTGAAAAACTACATTACCCATGATGGTGTAGTACAGAAAATGACACTAATCAGTGTTGCAGTTAGCAGGGGCGTAAATCTGATTTAACAGTAGGGGGGGACAATAACTATAAAATTTCTTTGAGCATTTTTTTAAAGGGGACACAAATTATACAGCCGAATTGTACTATTAAAGATATGTCCACACAGTTAAAAATGGTTTCATCATCATTATTATTATAGCATGGAGATTATGTCATTATGGTTTCTTTCAAAGTTTTTCTCAGGTTCAATGACAGCAAATTTTTTTTCAAAACTATTTATTGCATTTGTTTGTTGTGTTGTTCACAGTCAACTGACTGACTCCTGAAACAGAATAAATGCAGAAAGACATTTTCCATACTAATAACTAACTTTAAAAGCGTTAAAATGACAGATCATGCTGTAAATCAGTGAGCCAGTGAAATCTGCTAAACGGCCACAACTCCAAAAACGTTAAAAAAAATTGTTCACCCCAAAAGAATTGTCATTATTCCTTCAATAAACCACAACACCTTTACCTGACACTGTACATCTGACTGACCCTGCTCTGCCTGTTCCTCAATCATCTCTTTCTCCCTTGCCTGTGATTAATATTGTGACATTAGTATTTTCATAAGCACTCATTCTGAAAGCCAAATTGCTTAATATGTGAACTTTTTGTACTTGGCGTTTAGCTGCACTGAAAAATTATCTTATGTCCATTTTTTTCTGTCATTTTATCCAATACATGACACTGCCAGGCACGTTTATTTATACTGTAGCACATTTTACACAATGGCAATTCAAAGTGCTTTACATAAAGAATGCAAAACTATCATGAAAATAATCACAACAATAAAAACAAAGAATTAAAAAAGGTTAACATTTTAATTTCAAATTAATTGAGTCACTTAAAACAGAATAGCAACGGATTATACAAAAATACATTGGGGTTAGTGTGCTCAGTGTAGCACAGTGCTCATTTAGCAAATACACAACTAAAAATATTATGCTAATTGTGGTCGTTAATGTTAAGTTAACATTATGCCAAGTCGTCACAAATGAAACAGTGCATGAGTCTGTATTAACTACATCGAGGAGAATCGCTTTATTTAAGGTAAATAAAATCCGCAGCAGCAGCCACACACCTGACGTGTATGTGTACGTGTGTGTGTGTGAGTAGCCGAATGAGGGAAATCATTCAGTGGACCAAACCACTCTGAGGTAGGGGAGGGGGAACTCAATTGTTTCTAAATGCATTTTAAATGATAAATGCGGTTTTCTTTCTACTTAGACAAATATTTTAGCTATATATATATACACATTTATTTTTCACAATTTAGAGTTTTTATTTTATTTTTTTATTTTTTTTGGAGGGGGGGACAACCCTTGGACGGGAGGGGACATGCCCCCCATTGGTAATGAGGCATTACCAATGGTGTAACGGTAATGATGTAAAATATCGTCGTTTCTGCAGATAAGTCAACAGCATTTTAAAATGGATATTTTTCTGTTGTTTTTGTAGAATGCCTCATAGTATTTGTAGTTCTTTATCTCATTAAAGCCATCAAATATGTAGTTTTGTACTTTTATTTTGTCAGATTTTTTATCTGGTTGATTTTCTGTGTGGTTGTATTCTCAGGGTTGGTTTATGTCAGGAAAATAGTACTTTTGGGGGTGAACTACAGTAATAGATTTACATAAACTAAAAAGCCTATTGAATATTTACACTAAATGTATAATTTTGGTCACAGTACCTTCTGTGTTAATTCTCCTCCTTCAAGAGTTTTTCTAGAAGAGGACATGATGGTCAAGCACTGATCTTTCCACACCGAAATCCATGTTATCCCTCTCAGCATAATGGAAAGCTGGACCTCAAAAACATCCCTGTGACACAAGGACAGACACACTCCAGAGATGAATATGGCCCAAAAGAGATCATACCAGTAAGTGTTTACTCAAAGCACATCTCAAACTAGAACCTACTGAGTGTGTAAATATGCCATGTTTAATATCAAAAAATCTTATTGAAATCCATCATGCAAGTAAAGTTTCATTTCAACGCAAAGGAAACCAATGGAAGTGATAACCATTGTTCAGGCATCTTGGAAAAATTGTTAATGAACCCTAATTTTTAGCTGCTGCTCCCATGATGTAAATAAAATGTTAAAACTTTTAGTGAAGTGATTACATATTACTAAGGCCAGAATCTGCAGACCTTTTTTGCCATTCCTGCACAGAATTTTGTAACAATCTGCAGAATAATTTTAAGAGTGTATGAGCTTAAAACCTAACTCATAAAAAAAAATTATATATAGGTTTATGATCAAGGAAAGTTTTAGGGCCAAATCCAGTTAGAATGACTTGTTTGGTAAACAAAACTACAATCACTCTTATATAATACATCCACTAAAGACATTTAATAATACTGCAATTGATATAAAACCTGTATATACATTTACACATATACAAAGTACATAAAGAAAATGGATGTTGATATAAAAAAAAAATGTGGATTTTTCCATGCGCAGTTTCCATGTGGACATAAATTGCCAGCATCTGCATGGTCAGCCTGTACCTTCTTTTAGTTTGTTTTCTAAAAGGTATTAAACATTGACCCTCATCAAAACATTGATAACAATCAGCTCTAATCCCTTGGTCATTTTTCAATTCAACCAGTTGTGACAGTTTGGGGCGTGGCTAATGTACTGAAGCTGGCTGAGCCAGAAGGGGTTTAGTTGTGAAATACGAGTGATGCAATCAATACGAGTTAAAGCGCAAGCCAAAAAAATTTAAGGCTTTTCAAAATACAGAGATTGACAACAGAGTAAAGCAAGGATAAACACTCGCGGTGCCATAGTGATGAATTTGATGGTAATGTTTAAATCAAACGCTTCCCGACAGATTTTCCAAATGATGTTATGTTCCATATAAAATAGTAAAATATTGGATGATAGGAATATACTTAAGTCATCTTGAAATCAATATGGACACTTTATTTTTTTAGCCAACACTGCTACACTTAAAAAGATAATTTACCAAATATAAAAAAAAAATCACACACTTTCAATTTGTTTCAAACCTTCCTTCTCTTAAACAAGAAAGATTTTGAGGAAGGCTAAAAACCTGTAATCATTGAATGGGAAAAACAAATAGGATGAAAATTAATGCTTACAGGTTTGCAGCATTCTTCAAAATATCTTCTTTCATATTTGAGAAAAAAGACAGTCAAATAGGTTTGGAAAAAAGGAAAAGGATTGAGTAAATTATGATTTCAGCAGTTCATGCAAGTTAATTCACTGGTAAAACAAAGAATTGTTGGTCTGCAACTAAAACGAGCCAATTTGCATCTGCTCCTCAATGGAATTATCTGATAATATAGTTTTGGGTGATTTGGTTGCAACTATCAATCCACCAATAGTTTGGTAAAACTGTAAGATGGAGAGGAGGAGCACTGAAATAAAACCCTGTCCCTAATCCAATAATCAGTTTCAGTTAGAAATATGTCACAATACTGCAGTCAAGTCTGTAGCAACTTCTGGTTCAAGTGGAAAAAGTATTCTGTATTTCCTCTAGGTGGCATTAGTAGCACACACTGCACATACTTCACCTTTAAAACTGCCTTAAAACAAATTGACTGCTTAACAGAATTATTTTTGTTGTACACAGCATTACGTCCTACATCAAGCAGGGCTACGGAACAGAACACAGAACCGCCAGGGCTTTGTGATGAAAGAAGTCACCAACCCCACTGAGCCCACACCATACCAGAGCACATATCACACAGCACACTGCAGCAGATACCAAACAAATGAAGACACTAGTGGACGGCCAGTCTATTGGCACAGCCATAACATTATCACAGGTACTTCAGTTCACTGCAAATGATATGCACACAAAGAGGCTTTCAGCTACTAACACTTCCATAGAAGCAGATGATGTTTGTGTGGTGCAGTATTGCCAGCCACTCTCGTAAGCGTCCATGCAAAGAACCATTTTGCTATTTTGGGCTACAGGACAGGAGGAGGCTGCAGCTGGGCCTGGGAGACCCAGAAGACAGTCTGGCGAGAGTGTTTTGTGGGAAGTTCGACGCTGGGAGACACATCACGACTCGTTACGTTTGTACTGAACAGCTCAACTGCAACATGAGACCAGTAAACCATCAATAGATAAGTCAATAAATATGCTGGTTAGCAATCAAATATTACAAACGAACCTTCAAAATTAGGTCTCTGTGGAGAAAAAAAAAACATTTAAAATAAGCATGAGCAAATAATTGGTTTGTTACATTTATATAAATTATATAAAAATTAAATTTGGGTCATTTTAATTTATTTTAGTATCATTTATACACCAAATGAGCCACAACATATGACCACATACCTAATATGCTGTTGGTCCTCCATAAGTTTCTAAAACAGTCCCAAACACCGGCAAGACCCCTGAAGATAGTCCTTTCATAGTTGGCACCAAGAAACTAACAGCAGATGCTTCAATTTCTGCGAGTATTGAGGTGAACATTTTTGAGGTTGATTTGTTGGGTTAATAAACCCCACACACAGATTCTCAATTGGAGTGAGATCTGGTGAATTTGGGGACCAGGGAAACATCTTGAACTCTTGTGTTCTTCAAAGGGTTCCCACTTTCATGAAGGGCAGATTCAAGGACTAACATTTGAAATCAAGTACCATTGTAATTTACACCCCCAGTAAGTGTCGTGCCATTTAAGTCCTTACCATTCTTAACATTTCACTTACACTTAATTTAAATGTGGGTAGGTTTTCCAGAGATGTTTGTCGTTCAAAAGCAGCAGTTTCTTAAATGTTGATCAAATTTGCGTTACTAGTCATAGTTCTTGTACAGGATTTAAAGTGTAAGATTTATAAATTAAGATTTTTTTTTTTTTACAGCAGCACAGTACAAATGTTGAACTAACACTATCAACACATTTAATTTTAAATTTAATTCAAGCACTTTTAAGGACCTGTGTGTTTAAGCACTTTCCAGGCCTTGAGATCCTATGTTTGAAATTCAAATACTAAAGTGTAGGAAATGGAAACCCAGTCTTCAACCCTTCCTCTGGGTAACCCCATTACCATTATGATCTTAAAAATGTTTAGTGGGTAGCAAGTGTGATATTTTCGTCCCCAACACCCTGAACATCACAATCCCTCCACTACGTACCATTATCCTTCAGTGCATGTTGATGTATTACTTCCGATATTTCTTTGGCATTTTAGAATGACCAAAACAACATTTCAGATATTTTACAATGTGTTCAGCCTGCTGGTTTGTCCATTCACACACATTTTTTAATCACCACATAATCTTTTTTTTTATTGTGCATACTGGAATTTGTTTGGTAAAAGTGTTACCATCATAGTTTATGCGCATCTTTTCTCATCACATAAAAAGTTTATCCTACTCAATTTTCAACATTTATGCGCATCTTGCCGTTTCCATCAACTGTTTTATCATGTGCTTGTCCAAAATGCATGTGAAATAGGTGGATGGACACATAGCTACTCTCACCTACCCACACTTTAACATGTGCTATTGTTAGGTGGTAATATAATATTCACCTCACCTGTGTCAATATTTGAGCTCATCATTGTATATTGCGTTTCCACTTGCGTCACAATATTTGTCAGTTACCCATATGCCTGACCATTATAAACATACTCGGTAGGTAAACAGCATCATGCATTGCATGATAAACTACTACGCGTTGTTCTGCTTACTTATGCCATCTAAACTATAGAAAATGTGCATTTTACTCCACTAAATCTTGTAGGAGGAAGCAGGAAACATTGTACTAGTTTGACAAACTGAATATAAAGGCTCTATTCTGATTGATTTGTGATAATTTTGTCTTTAGTAATTTCTTTATTTTCCCTATTTGACTTAATACAGGCCGAAACACGACAATAATTGCATTTTTTTTTTTAAATTACTGCTGTTGAAAATGATCAAGTTTAATTTGATAGGGACATTTTTTACATTTTGCTCTCCAACATGTCTTACTGATGGTACGTCAGGAAAATCAGCTATACTGTTATTAGATTTAGAAAATGTGCTTTTTCATAATTATGTTTCTGAAACCTTAAGCTCATTTAAATATTTACATTTTGTTTTATTTAAATTATAGTACTTTGCTATTTGCTAAAACAACCTTAAAGTTTCACCTCTAATATTTAAACATTTATCATCTATTGTTTTTAATAACTTCACAGATTTGGTTACAAAATCTAGTTTCAAATCAGTTTAATGCTTTAAAGAACACAAACAAAATGACAGGTAAAATGACATGGAGAGAAAACAAACTTAAGACAAGCTGATAGAACACACAACAGAGAGGAAATGAACGTGTATAAATATATACACACACACGCGCACACTCACACACACACACAACGAGAGGTTTTCAATTGGAAAATGGCTAGAGCTAGAGGACAGTAATGAGGGTCCACACAGCACTAGTACAGCAGTATGGGTCTAACGTCCCCTTCACAAACACTCCAGTTCAGGTTTTCCAGTGCAATTTTCAGAACAGTGCAGAAATGCATGTTTCCAAGCCATTCATAGACAAAAAGGCTACATTTCATGACTTCTGATGATGTGTTCTGTGCATCTAATTGGTTAAAGCAAATATTGGGCAGATGCCTTGCAAATTTAACAGATTCAAAGAAATTAAGCGCTCTATATTTTGCACAGACTTATTAAATGTGCTATGACATGCAAATATACATGACTGTAAGAGCTGAAATGAGTATTTCAGCATTGAAAAAATAATAAAACACTTTTGATGGAAAACAAATGTATACTTCAAACTGAAACCTAAAAACAAAGTTATACGTGAACCTTAAGAGATCTCTGCATACATTTAAGCTGTTCTCTAGATGTTACTTATCACTATCAGCTTAGTTTCTGCAAAAGCTTTACGTTGGTCTGTGGAAATTTGACGATAAGCAGGGAAGATGACCACATTAAACTCAAATTTGTCTGAATTTTCAGCCTTCTGAATTGTTTTCACTCGAGCTTTATCTTTTACTCGTTCTTCTTCTCCTTCTGTTTAAGAAGTTTGTTGATTTCTCTCTTTGCCATGCCAGCATATTTGGTGATGATGCCATGCTGGTTGAGGCCAGGAAGCAGCAGAAGGAAACTCACTGTGGACACAAAACAGAAAATGAATTGGTAAACTGGCATGCAACAGGGCATGCTAAACAGAATCAGTAATATTACAAACATAGTTTGGACTACAAAAGCAATTTGTTCTTTGTTTTATGGTTGAAAGTCAATGAGTTTAAATAGTTTTAGACAGCATTTGACTGTATTTAGCGTTAACTACTTGATCACAATGACAAAAAAAGCTCGTTTCAAACTGCACTATTTTGTATTATCATCATTTTACTTTTTTCTTAAAATGGATAGATCACTAAAAATGAAAATGACCACATTATTGACTTCCTAATGTGGTTTAAAACAGAGTTTCCTCTGTTGAACACAACAGAAGATCTTTTGGAGAATGCTGGTTGTTGGCACCCTTCACTCTTTTAAATTTATGAATGGTGTTCGGGGCCTCTCTGTGTGTGTGTGTGTGTGTGTGTCACACAGAAATACACACACAGTATTTCTGACGGCAGACACGTGAACTAGCAGAACGTTTTTCTCGTATTTCTGACGCGCTTGAACCACATGTGACAAATTATAACGGCTTTAACAGACACATTTCTAAGTTGTGTGTCACAAAAACAGTTATCCATTAAAAACGTCATTGAAACTCATTTTCGGAGCGCAAATTACCAGTTGTACTCGCTGTAAGCGGAAGTTTTTAGCATTTTACCGGAAGACGCTGGTCGCTATGGCGCCCTCCATGCAGCAGCCATGAAAAAGGACTATAGTTAAGATTATATTTGCATACGAGATACAATGAAATGTATCAAATGAGTATCAGATGTCTTTTTGCATATCGAATTTCAAAAAACTTAAATTTACTTAATTACTCAATACTTTATCATGCATGCATTGATTGTGTAAATAAAGGCTGAGGCTAAGGATCCTTGGTAAAAAACAGCATTGGGTAAGTTACTTAAAGGAAAAAAAAATTACAGCTACCAGCATTCTTCAAAATATACATTACATTTCTTTGTGTTCAAACAGAAGAAACAAATAGTTTTGAAACAAGTAAATGGTGAGTAAAATGACAGAAGTATTATTTTTTGGGTGAACTACCCCTTTTAGAGGCAACACATTTTTACACTTATTTACATTTACCTCACCATCATGCCAATCATCATGAAACCAGCGATATATAGATGCAGAGAGACTCTTGTTTAGGCTAGCGTAGTGTCTTAAGATTATTTTCTTTTTAACAAACAAGCAAGCAGGGCAAACGAGGATAAAATATAAATAGGATTTAAAACAAATGGAAAATGACTTCAGCTCACTTGAATGTTTCCCCCAATTGGTACAGGGAGATTTAATAAATCCTGTTTGCAGGGAGGGCAAGAGGCAGCACATATTTCTGGATAGAAATTGTGAATTTCCATGAGCCAAGTACAATGACCTCTTTGTTGCGCAGCCTAGTGTGTTTGCACGTGTCTAGCTTTGATAAGAGGTCAATGACTTTTCTACAGTTTGCACAGTTGTGTCAGATTCATAAATAATTACATATTCCGCTAGCTTAAAATCTAATAATTATAAATAAACAATAATAATTATTTTTTTGCAATGCAACAAGCTGGACATAAGCAATGCATTGCTGTAACAGACTTGCATTGTTTTTACGAAACAGCATACCTATCAGGTAGGTGAGGAAGAGGTTATGAACTTGTTGTCCAATCCAGGCCACAGCCACAAGACTGCTGATCACAGAGAGGAAATACTACAGAGAAGTAAAACAAGTGTTACATGGAGGAAGACCAAACTTTCACAATGACATCAAGTTCTCAGTTGCCTACTTCTGTCATTCAGCTCATAAAAGTGTGTATTATCATAAAGTTAAGTCTTTTCATAAAGTCAAGTGATAAATTCACATTCACAAGCCAAGTCAAGCTCTTAGCATAGCAATTAACAGCATAAAACCCCAAAGAGAGGTACTTTCTGGAAGTCTCATTTAATAAAAGTTATATTGATTCGTACACAAAGAGAGTAAATGCAGCATTACGGTAACATTTTACAGTAACAAAAAAAACATTTCATTTGACATTTTAAAATGATCTGTGTGATAAAGCTGAATCCTCATTTACTACACCACACCTGGAAACAGATACACGAGTCTTTAGTAAACAAACTTCAAAAGAACAGCCTTCATTTGAAACAATGGTTTTGTAATATTAGAAAATGTATTTTCACTTTTGATCACCATTAACTTTAAATCTAAAAAATCTTTTGTTCATTTGCTTGCTTGTGAATGTTTTAAGAATATATAAGAGATAATGAGGGCTGCTGCTTACACATCTGCTCTCATTAATACCATTTAATCTATGTATATTGTGACATCAACAATGACAAAGCCCTTAAATATGTTCTCTTAAGGGCAAAATTATTAATTATGTATAAGCTATGAATTAGGTCTGCGTTACATTTGTTTATTTCAACTGCTGAGCAACAGTGATAAAACAGACTCAGTGGTGTAAAAAATGCAGCTCGCAGGGAGTGGTATTAGTCACTAGTGAGTTCTTTAGACATAAAACAATGAAGGTGTTTAACAAGTCAAAGCAGAATACCATTTTTGGCTTTTCTTCCTTCAGGGCAAACAGACGTTTCCACCAGCCGAGCACACGGCGCTGAGTCTTCACAAGGTTTCCACAGATCTCATGAAAACGCTGCTGCTGTTCTGTGGTCCTGTGCAGGAACAAAAAAATAGATAATTAGACTCCTCAAAACCCTCCCCAAACTAGAACTAATTAATTACAATATCTAAAATACATTTAACCACCACAATAGCAAGTAATAAATGTTTTGCGAAATTAAAAGTTTATTTTTTTAGATGTTAGTATCCGTATGTTAGCTTTCAGAATATCTATAAGCTAATGTGCTCCAAAACAGTGACAAAGTTTACATTTAGAAGTTATGCCCAGATTTCCAAACTTGACTACTGCATACTTCAGGTTTTACATCAAATCTTTTGTCCAGTCAAATGCTCTCCAGTATCTGACATGACCCACCCCCTTCTCGACTCATTTGATGAGGTTGAGCTCAACCGCTTTCACTGGCAGAACAAAATGAAACACTATTGGTTGTTTTGTTTTGTTTTTCAAGGGAAAGAGCTACTATTTCAAACCCTGTCTTCATGTTTCAGTT